GCGCGGAGGTCCGGGCTGGGGCGAAGGGCCGGGGGGTGCGGTTTTGCAAAGGCGGCTGGAGAGGGAGAACCTCCGGGGCGTTTCCCGGCAGCCTGCTGCCCACCGCCTCCGGGGGGGAGCCTCGTTTTGCCGGATTTGGGTTGGTTACTCCGCAAAGCCCGGGCCAGCTTTTACTCCACAGGTGCTGCTTGTTTGGGGAGTTGCTCTTGGAGGCGCTATCTGACGGCGGCAATGGAAATCTTGCTCTCTTGAGGGCTGCAGGCTCCATTTCTCGTAACTTTGTTCTCATTTCTTTTTGATAGCGATTTCTCTGCTTCAAAATTTCACCAAGCTGGAAGCCTATCAGTTGTGATTGATAAGTTGCCGATGTTTAAAATTATATCTAATAATACCCCTTATTAGTTCACTCTTACTAAACCTGTATTTGGGTGCTAACTATTCTAGAGGTTTGCTTGGCAGACAGAACCTGGATTCAGATGTCGATGAGCAGAGTGTTCACGGCTTGAGAACAGGGTTTCTCCTCACTGTACTTAGTCATTGCAAGTGTACCCGCTCTGTACGCTGGCAATTAAATGACACTGGTTTTGAGGTGGGAGATAGGATGGCAGAGTCAGTATGGTGCCACATCTGATGTAGTCAGCTGTGCTTCTCATGTGCTGGCTGACCCAGGAGAAGTGCTGCGAGGCTGCAGCTGTCTTGCTCCTGGCGATAGCTAGGACTCATCTGGGGTTCTCTGACCAGTGCTCTGTCGAGCTGGGGTTCTCTGACTCTGTACCACTATCTACTGCTTTCAGTTCTTCCTATGCAGAGAAGACCACGCTGCTGGAGTAAACAACTGTGGAGGAAAAACGAGCCCAAGTGTGGCTTTTCAGACACTGGTAGAGTCAGAGAGGAGATCTTTATCTGTGCAAGTTAAAGGCTACCTGGGAAATGGTGACAGCAGTGGGGGACGAGATTTGTGTGCGCCAGTTAACCTGTCCCCATTGACACTGCGACATTCCCTTTATCTGTCCCCTGCTGGGACTGGGGAGCAAAATGGGAATGCTGCTGGATTTTCAGAGAGAAGCACTAATAGAATTATTTCTTGTTTGCAACTTAGATACTTTATTTAAAAAAGGGTTTAGAGTAGAGTTTGTGAAAAAATAGAAATTCTTGCAAATACAAAACCAGACAGAACTAGTCTTGTATAAATAATGAAAATCAAGCGTAAAACCAGATTGTACGCTGGGCAGCCAGTGTACTCATTCCCCTTCCACTCTTGGGCTGCTCCTTCACCCTATATGTCCACTTTCTGCTTGTTGCATTCATTCATTGAACCATATTTTAAATTAGTCTCTGGCACTGCAATTGAATGATTCAGGTACCTTATTCTCATCAAAGTCAAGAAAGCTTCTGGTGACTGGGAGGCTTTTCCCCTTATGCACGGATCTAGGTAGTAATTTTCTAGGAAGAGAACTGGTGTAATATAGCTGAAGGTGCTTCCTCAAAGCTTCTGGGGTGTGGGGCACTGGAGAGCAGATGGAACTTCTTTCTTGAGTGCTGCTGCAGCAGAGCAATTGCTTGATGCTTAAATGTTTCAGCCTTAGGCATTATAAAATAGAGAGTATAAATCATCTTTATCTGTCTTTTGAGAAAGAGACAGTGGTTGTACAGTGATGGCACAGCAGCCAAATTCAGTCAGATAAAGAATTACTCGTGGTTCTTAAATGCTTGCAAGAAAGAGTAAGCTTTCTTATCCTATCATATATATATACACACATCTCATATTTTATGACACTGCTTACTTGTTTCTCTGTGTTCTGTTACATTTTCTGGCTAATAATTATGGGATATCAATTAATAATATATTGGCATCGTATCACCACCGCAATTCTGAATGTGTGTAATACCACTTTACGCCAAAATGACGAAGTGTTAACGCTGTCATGGATCAGCGGTGAGCCCCAAGTTCTGCTCGCTGCCGTACCTCCGTGACAGTTCCCGGCTCACTCCGCTCTCAGTCTCCCGGCCCCTGGGAGCGGAGGCTGCCGCCCTCGCTGCTCCAGGTGGTGCTCTCCCCCTCTCCACTGAAGTAGCAATGCAGCAGTGAGCTCAGTCAAGCATTCGAACTAAGTCATAGGTTCCCTTTGCAACGTTAATTATTAAAACTTTGTTTTGAATGGATTGGAAGGGTGACTAACAGTGCCCAAGTGGTAGGACTTACTAATTAAGTTTACAGTAGAAAAGTTTGCCAGTTAAAAAGAAAGAGGTAAGAAGTGAAGGCTTCAACGAAAAGTTGTTATAATGGAAATTTGGTCTCAACTGCGGCAAATAAATGTACTTCTAGGATAGAAAGTTTGCAGTTGACAGTAGAATTAACAAAAACTTAAGCTGATTGTATCAGAGGTGGTGCTGTTCCACAGAAACACATCGTATCTCTCAGGTTGCTTCTTGGTTTAACTATGAAGAATCTATACACAAATCCCATAAAATACACATTTCAATGTCAGAGCACAATGATTTTGAGAACTAAGGAAAACTGTGTCCTTCAGAGGTTGAATGTAAGATATTAGATTACTTGAGAAGATTTATTTTAAAATTTAGCAAGGTGGATGGAAATATATAGACCAAAAAAAGAAGAAATGTGAATTAATTCAAATTTCGGATTTGTAGAATCATGTTGATTATGTTTTAGTATTTATTCACAGCTACTCTTTTCATGTATGCTGGATAATATCTGTATCAGGCATATGGCCTACGCAGAAGACCTTCCACTTAAAGGTCAAAATCTTGACTCCCAGTAGCTGGGAGAGTAGGGAATGATAATCTACCTTCCCTATTCAGTGAGGAATGGCTGTATACTTACTCCAAACAGACTGCTGCAGTGGAATTCCTTACTTAACTCTTTGGAATCATGTTGTAATAGAGGGAAGAGTAGGGAGCACAGACAGCCAAATTCAGTCACAGTGAAGAAAAGTGATGTATTAATGGTAATCGGAAGGATTAAAAACACTAACAGTCTCGGGCTCCTGATCTGTTCCTCTGGTTTGTAATTATGTGTCTTTTAGTGAAAGAGGTTGGTGCACTGTTCCTTAGCATCTGATTTTTATCTTGCGTAGTTCAGCTGAAGGGGTTAGGTTGTGTATTAATTAAAGAAACTGTGCCAGAATGTACAGGCTCTGAAAGAAAGAACAGAAGAGGCAGTTGGAAATGAAAAATGCAGAACAGGAAGATGTGAACTAAGAAACTAGAGAAATAGGATTTTTGCTCCATAGTTTAGAAATAACCAAGATGGCGGTGTCTGATCTATTGTCAGTTCATTGTCATAAACTATGTGAGAGAATAGAAGTTACCAGATGGTCTGAGTCAAAGACAGTGCAGAAACATATTTTTCTTTTTAGGTAATTTTGAAAAGCAGAAGAGGAATTTTGGATGGTTTAAGGCTCATGATGAGTTTGCTGTAAAATGACAAGGGTGGTATCTACAGAGAACTGCACCAGGATAGTGATTGATTTTGAGGGGCTCAAGAAATGATGAAGCGAGTCTTTCACTGCCCACTGCATTTGCCAGAAGATGCAGCAGGACAGAACACTGATTGAAAGTTTGTGTTGATAATTTATCTTATGTTAGTGTTATCTTTGCATATGCTTGGGTGTGGGTTGAGGAGGCATTTCTCTCGGAGAAAAGAATGGATTGCCTATTCTTCCTTGTCTCTGCTTATCAATTACTGATAACTGTGTTCCAGTTACTGGTAATAATACCTCTTTGACTTATTAGGAAACTGCCCTTGGTAAGGTCGATAACTTATCTTGGGTATTTCCTGAGTTCATTGGAAAGAAAGTGTCTCTTTACAGCATATTATTGAATTCCTGTTCTGGTTATGATGTTTTATAAGTAATCAGGTGTTAAGAAACAGATTTTCTGTAGTACTGGAGACTACCACATTTGGCCCAGAAAGCACTGTGGTACTGAGTGTGGTGTATTTTATCTCCTTCTAAAAATCTAATGGTCCTCCATGTCAGATGCTTTCTGCTCTTCTTCAGTATTTTCCTACAGAATTGAGAAATTCTGAGGGAAATGCAGTATCAGTGAGCCTTATTTTCCACTACATCACCACTGTCTAGGATTTTGTTATAATATCCTTTTTAACTACATTGTGGTAGCATAAACATTGATGAACTACTAGTTTGTCATTTAAAACTAGCATTATATTCTGTGTGTTCCATTATATTGTACAGTGATCTTCTTGTGCACTACTTTGCAGAGGAATGCAAGCTTCAAAGAACAAAAATACAGAAAAGGCAGAACCATTTTACAGGCTTTCAGTGCCAAAGCAGAAGACCAGTTCTGAGATTATAAATGAAGCCAGGAATGTTCTCCGAACACTAAGAACTTGGAGGCCGTTTACACCTACAGAGGGTCAAAGGAAACTTTTTGGATCTGGATCCTCACGAGCTCCTCAGAATAGACCTCCTTCAGTTTTTAGGTACTGTGGCTTTAAGATTTTTTCAAATATTCTTTCGCAGCAAGAGATTTGATTCTGTAATTATGTTTCCGGTGGTTTCTTTCCCTGTGTTACACTGTATTCCTAATCACATCCTTTACCTTCTTCTAATGATCCTTACTATTGGTGTTAATCTACGTGTCCCGGACGTTCCTGTGGATTAGAGCTACCAGAGGCAGTCATTACACTAGTTTTGTATGTGGAGAAGAGTATAAGGAAATGGTCTGTAACTCACCTTTTTCTTAAGACAACGTATGCTTTTACTTGAGATAGTCTTCAACTTTTCCCTAGGAACTGTGAAAGCTTGCTTGTTTCCACATAAACTGTATGCTAGATCTTTTTTACAGAGCTTTCTCAGATATTTTTAAATATAAAATTGTAGATCTTGAAGTTTGAAATGCTCATTTTTAAACAAAATTTATACTACTTCAACATTATTTCTCTGTGGTGTTTTGTTACGTAGCATAATTCACAGAGCTCAATAGATCTGTGTCATGTGACAAACAAGAAAAAAAAAATTGTATATTGGGTTTTTTACATCCATTTTCCCAGTCATTTTTTAGCTCTCCTTGTGTGCCAATTCTGTAATGACTGTAGGGAGGAGATATAAGCTGTACTTGTAATGTTAGGTGTCAGGCATGCCAGAAAGGATGCTGAAACATGTTTGAACGGCCATACAAGTAAGTCATTGTCCATGCTGTTTTCATGGCAGCTTGACTTCAGGCACTCAAGGTATCCGATATTCCTTACTGCATAGTGTTGTGCCCTTACAGAAGGTGGGAGCCTGAGAGTGACTTGGCTGTTTTTTGGTGACCAGGTAATGAGGTCACTCTGGCTGACATCCATGCTTGTTCTGTCTGTGCTTCTCCTGTGTATGGGAAGGAGCATGCTCGTGCCTGCACAAACCTGGGTTTTCTGCCCTGCAGTGTTCTGCAGCTTGTGTCAGATAGCTTGGGCACTAACCACAGCTGGGTTTGTGCATGAATTTAGGCTTATATTAGAGAATTATTATAGACTTATATGAAATAAACTGTATCACGGCAGATGTGCAGATGATCTTGTAATTCTTCTCCCTTGGTGCTGCTGAATTCCCAGATATCAAAGTTAAATAGCATTCATGGAAGAAGAGCGAATGGTGTAAAAGTGCTCTTTCACTCTTTATTCCTCCTTTTCCCCATTGGCAAAGGGAAGAAGTATGCAATTAAAAAACCCAACAAAACAAACCAGCCACAAAACACTGGGTCTGCTTTATTCATATTATGTTTAATTTCTTTATGCTAGTCTTCATGCATCCAGTTTTGATTTGGCTGAATCAAGACCAGTGTCTGGTGTTCGTCTTAGCCCACTGGATCATGTGAGTACTCTGGAAATTACTCTATGCAATACTGACATAAAAATATGTGTATCAGTAGTGTTAGGAAAAGATATGGTTTAAATAGGTTGGGGAGAAATGGAAGCCTGTCGTAATGTTAGTCTGAGACTTATAAAGTCAGTTTTGTAATTTTTTTTCTCCAAAATAAACCTGAAAATAATTTAAACTATCTAAGTATTGCTATATTGCATTATAATTCTAAGTGATGTTAACAAGACTCAGAAGACACATACTTGAATCAGCTTTCTTGTGTAAGATTACTAAAATAGAAAAAGGTCATGAGCATCAACATGAGCCAGCAATGTGTCCCTGCTGCTACGAAGGTGGCTAATGGTATCCTGGGATGCATTAGGAGGAGTGTTGCCAGCAGGTTGAGGGAAGTGATCCTTCCCCTCTACTCAGCACTGGTAAGGCCATACCTGGAGTGCTAGGTCCCATTCTGGGCTCCCCAGTACAACAGAGACATGGACATACTGGAGAAAGTCCAGTGAAGGGCCACAAAGATGATGAAGGGACTGGAGCATCTCTCCTATGAGGAAAGGCTGAGAGAGCTGGGACTGTTCAGCTTGGAGAAGAGAAGGCTCAGGGGGATCTTACCAATGCATATAAATACCTGAAGGGAGTGTGCGAAGAGGACAGTTCCAGGCTCTTTTCAGTGACAGGACCAGAGGCAATGGACACAACCTGAAACACAGGAGGTTCCCTCTGAACTTCAGGAAACACTTTTTCCACTGTGAGGGTGACAAAGTCCTGGCACAGGTTGCCCGGAGAGGTTGTGGAGCCTCCATCCTTGGAGATCTTCAAAAGCTGCCTGGACACGATCCTGGACAACTGGCTCTAGGTGGCCCTACTTGAGCAGGGGCATTGGGCAAGATGACCTCCAGAGGTCCCTTCCAGCCTCAACCATTCTGTGGTTCTGTGATCAATAACTTGAAAGTAACTGGTTGATTGTGCTTTCTATTTGACTTACGCATCTATAAAATGTAGTTTATTTAAAAAACAGATAGAGGTACTTGTAAGAACTCCTTTTTCCCCTCTGTGAAAATTTTGAATTGTTTTCAGTTTATAAGTGTATCTGCTTTTTCAGGTTTTTTATATTTAATCTTTAAATATAAGATTAAGTCATAATCATTTGTTTAGTACCTGAGAGAACAGAGCATGCTAAAACAATGAAGCATGCTTGCTGTATATAGTGTTTCTTCAAGACAGTAATCTAAATGTAGCATTCTTCAGGGAATTAGAGGAAAAAATTCCAAGAAATGTTATACTTCAGTAATTTTGATAAGGTAATGTATTTATATGAATCAAATTAAAAAATTCTGACCATACTGATATTTAGATTAAATATATCTACAGTTGGATTTAAATACTGGTGTTAAATTTTCATTTATCTTGTGTGTGAAAGTGGGGAAAAAAAACTAGAGAAAACTACTGTTAAGACCAATGCAAAAACTGCCTTTCCTGCTTTACCAATGGAGATAAGTTAGTACACTGTAAATGTAGAGCTTGCATTAGTCATGGTCGCTGTGGGGAGTGGGTCTCACCTCTTGGCTGTCTTCAACTAATACCGGGGAGAACTCTGAAGGATCGGACTGGAGACTTTCTAATGGATTCTTTATTGTAAGGAAATTGGAGAAAACCTTGATCTTACAGGACAATGGTTTATGTAGGGCACAACAAGTGTTTTGTACCAGAGGTTCAGGGGGTTGGTCACATCCTCGAAGATGCAAGATACTGGCATAAATAAAACTAGAACTTGCATGTTTCTGGATGTGCATGATTTATCTCAGTGTGATAGGAAGTGGTACATATGATATGAACACATTTGAAGTGTTTTGGAAATACTACTTTAGTGCTGAAAAATAAATAATGAAGAATAGATGTGCCTCTAGAATTGTTAGCGCAAGTCTTTGGCACAACATTTTTTTCGACAAATAAGCATACTGCAGCTGATGTTAAATGAGTATTTATGAGGGAAATAAATAATTCTGAGTTTCAGCTGCTCTGCTCAGGCTAGTTTTTGTTTGTTTTCTGCACCCCTGAGTGTTTGCTTTTAAATGGCTTTCTGTGGTGATACGGGTATAGATATCTGGCTTGTTCAGCGGAATGGTATCGTTAGATTCTGGATATGAAAATTTCTTAATGAGCAAACTTATGTAACTTGTATCTATTCTATTCTGAAGTTAACCCTTTGTATAAATCATTTGGTTTTCTGTTGTTTTTTTTTTAAATTTTTGCTTATATGAGAATGAAATTATCTGTGCTTTTATTAAAACGTCTTCTTTCTCTTTGTCACAGAAACCAATAGTAGTCACTTTTGCAAAAGATGAAGATTCTTCCTTTTCCCTTCCAAAACCTCCTGCCAATGCTGCAGAGGTTAGAAAAGTCAGCAGTGCTCGGGCACGCTTATTTAGAAGAACTTCTCAGGGAAATTACCTTTCTGCTAAAATTGTTTCTCCTGATCAGAGTAAGAATGTTTTGATACGTATTATTTCCTAGAACAATAACTGCATGATGAGTTTTAATCTTGTTAATTACATGAATTATATTATATTATATTAAAGGACCTGCATGTCCTTTCAGAGTAAATTTTAAAAATATTTAAATGGCTTTAAGGCAGTTTTGAAAATGTGATTTCCAAAAATGATACTGGCTTTCACTTCTGAAAATGAGTAGAAAGCTACTCAGGTGTTTTTTTTTTTCCTATAGGTTTCTAAGTAATGGAATTTTTACTAGAAGTTTTCTTCAATGGGTAAAATTAACATTAAATGCTGAAATGTTTAAAGAGATAACGAGATGGCGTCATCTAAGGAGATTCGCTGATAAATTATTGAGTATAAAAGGAGGAGTAAAAAGGAATGATATCTCTTGACAGGCCTCCAACTACATCATATTTGTTGTTAAGAGTTTCATTAGTGGAGACTTAATAAAGGTCACTAAATGTGGGATTTAAAAGTAGTTTTCTTGCAGATGGGAAATGACCTGACATCTTGGTTTCCTGCACATTGGCTCATAATAACATGTGCTGGAACTCTGTCTTTAATGAAGACTCATTTGTAATAATGACAATCCTTACATTGCCTGGGATTGTTACTTTACATGATAAACTGATATCTCACTTTGTACCTCATTGCAAAATAAGTCATGTACAAAAAGTACTAAACTTCACTTCATTATTATGTACATATTCTATAAATATATATTTACATCATGTACCCCCATATGTAGTTTAATCCATTAGCCTTAACAAGTTGATGTTACTAATTGGAGAAGTTGAGAACCTAATGTAGTTATAGCCTGAGTTTGCCTCTTTTCTCCTTTGGGGATCATGCAAATGTTCACATAAGTTTCTTGTGCAGGTTCTTATCATGTGTACATACCAAGGTACAAGATTAACAGCTACCTTTTGCATGAGTTCCTTCATAATATTCAGATCCGTAAATATAATCACTTCTTTCACAAGGTACAATCCACCTATCTGTAAAAAGGAAATAAGAAAAAATAGATGAAAGATTAAAATGTTAAAACACAAAACCAAAAGCCTTTAAGAAATGGTGTTCATAAGAAGACTTTGACTACTATGCTCTAAATAGCCTTAAGCTTTCTCAGCTTTTAAATTGATACAAGCAAATTTTGATAATGTAACATGACAAACAGTAATTCATTTTGAGCTCTGTCACGTGTATTTATTGTGTAAGAACACTTCTACAAAATATATTCTCTTTGGCTATTTCAGATGAAGAGAAGCTAGATTCTGAAGATCCAGCTATGATGAGTAATCTTTGCAGAAGTAATGATAACTGCTTAGCAGAGCAAAGGTCCTACACACCATTTAATGATGAAAGTAGACAATTAATTTGTAATGAACATATCAACAGATTGGAAAGGGAAGACTTCCTAAAAGGGACAGCAGGAAAATTTTTATTTCAGCTGAGGGGAGAAAGGTCAGTATTGCTTGAGTATGGTAATGTGCACCTTCCACACAACCCTCTTCTGATATTCAGTTGTGTAGTATTGAAATGTTTAAAATTGATGGAATTTGAAGGTGGCACTATTTACGCATTAAAACAAAACTACGTTTAGATTATTAGGAAAAAAAAATCTTTACCCTTCTGTTTTTAGGAAGTTTCTACACGCAAAAGACTAATTTGTCCAAAAATTGTCGGCAGGAAGTTTCTTGATATGAAATAACTTTAATTTTGTTTGATCGTTAACATTTCAAAACTAAGTCTTTTAATAATTTTAAAAGTTAAAAAAAATAAATAAAAAAAAAAGTTTAAATTCAATGTGCTTGTTTTTGCAGTTCAAGCCTCTTGTTTTAAGGTGCTATACATTCTTCCCTTAGGTCCACAGATGAGTAGAGCCATGTTTTCAGTTCTGGTATTGGGGAAATATGTGCTCATACACAAAAAATAGGCTTAAACTCATTGGCAACAGAGGCAGAATTTTTTTGTGGCTTTGAATTTTTTTTAGTGGATATTTTTTCTATGACCGAACAGCTGTAAGAGATTAATGAGACTTATGTGCATGCAGTCTGTTTTTACTGAACCTAGATTATTACATACATTCTGTAATTCACAATTAAGTAGATTTTTTTTCCTTTTGATTCGGATCTGAATTCTTGCACAGGCCATGGAATAGTCCATGGCACTCTGTTCAGTAGGTGTATCAGTTGCTGCATTGGTAGTTGGACGAGCAACTGTTTTGTGCTAATAACATTGACAGATATGACAATCTCTACAACAAAGAATGAATAACACTTTATTTTCAAAACGTATCCTATAAACACTTGGTCACTATTAAGTATAAGTATTTGTGAGTAGATATCTTCTTTCTAGCATGTTTTTATGCTTAGGAAGAAATTATTTCCATGGATATTCTTAAGCACCTTTCATATTAAGGAGTATATTCTTAATTTTATAAAATCAAATGCCTTTCATTTACTAACTTGATGATAGTACTGAATAGTTTAGAGAACGTTGTCCATTGAGGCTGTTATGGCAAATGATACATAGCAGAACTATTGTAGCACTCAGGATTTAAAAAAAAAAAAAGCACACAGGATTTAAAAAAAAAAAAAAAAAAGAGGCAGATTCGGAAAGACTGGAGATTTGTAGGAGCAAAGAAAAAGTTTCAAAAGTATGGAGGGAGAGAAAACAAGAAAATAAGCCCAGCGATGGAAAATTATGGGTGAATGAAAGTAAAGCACCAAGGAGAGTGCTTCAGTGCAAAATCATTTTCTCCCATTAAAATCAGTGACCCAAAAGACTTTTTAGGTAAAGACCGTATGGATTATCATACTATGTAAGTTATTGTAATTTGACTTTTATTTAGTAAAGCTGTGAAGTACTTGAGTGTTGCAGTTGAAATGGGTAGTTAGTTAATGGTGTCCAAGTGTCTCTAATAAGAAAAGGTCAGTTGATACTTCTACTAATTGGAAACAGTGACCTTCCTTCTGAGTCATAATTTTAAAACTTGCAGGTATGATTGAACAGTTAACTCATTATACATCCTTGCTATCTGTTCAAAATTATATGCTTATCCTTTATAAGCTTGAGAGCTCCACAAGTTTTTCATTTTGGGTTTTTGTTACTGGTGCTTTTCGCAATCACCCATTCATATGGTATTGTGTACCGTAATCATTGAGTTTTCTGATAGCCTGAACCACAGAATGTCATGATTTACCATGATTACCTTGATAATTTTTGAGAATGACTGTCTTCTCTATTGAAATATTCTTAAGAACAAGCAAAAAAAGCCTATTACCAAAAAGATTGCTTTTTGCAACATGAAGCCTTATAGGGCATTTTCAGTTTGGTTTCTCTGTGTAAGAGGAGTTTTAGAAAATATAAAAAGTTCAAAGGGGAAAATTATATACTTTCAATTTGAGATTCTTCAAATATTGTTATGCATATTTGAAGAATAGGTTGTCAAGGTTCATTTTATGTAAGCTCCACTGGCTTAATTTCTTTATGATCTAAGTTACTTACTTTTCTGACTCTCAACATGATAGCTAAGATACTAATGATTCTAAACGTAAAAGATGGAATGTTAATGCATGTAGCTTGTCATATCCATGTTTGAACTAGGGAGAATAATACTAGGGGTAGCTGATTCTCACCCATCACTTAAATTAGATCTCAAATTAGTGACCTTAAGATAATACAGAAAAATGTTTTCCAATCTTGTTCTGACTAGTTTTCTCAAAAATAGAAGAGTAACATAATATTCCTCCCTCCTTCTGTGGTGAATGCAAAACCTGTATTTTTGAATGGTGCATCTTTACCTTCTCCTGTGGGTTGCACGTGCTTTCTTTGTACTTGAGACAGAGATGATTTTTGCCGATGCTGCCTGTGCTGCTTTATACCCTTGCACCAAGCATCACTAACAACACTTAGGTGCTCATATGGCTTAGAATACCAGACATACCTGCAATGCTGCAATATGCACAAAAATAATACAAAATGCATTCCCTTTAGTAAAGGACAAAGATCCCTCATCTGTATCAGCCCATGGAGTTGATGCCATCATATGATGGAATGGCTTTAGGTAATCTCAACTGCTCGCATACATTCTAACTCATTGCTGAGACTTATGCCAATAAACACATTGTTTCAGTACTCACACGAGTCAGGCAGACCTTGATCTATATCCTTTTCTGAGTTCAGAGATGTCATTCTTCATCTGACAAGGCGGTTGAAAGGTATCACAAGCCTATCCTTCAATACAGTTTGTTGAGTTTGGTCTTGATAAGAGTTGTATATAAAAGGTTCCAGTACCATAGAGGGGTCACTGCAGTAACAGAGTTTTGGAATTCTTTCTCAATAGAACATGTTTACAGGTACTAGGTGATTGCTGTGATTAGATTGCATCAGCTTCTATGTCATAAATACTTCTGAGGCATCTTCTATGAAGTTAAAAGATGTTTTCTATTTAAAGTATTGTATTCAGGAATAATGGGATGGAGGGCTTAAAGAAATGTGAAACCTGGAGTCTTGTCATTCTCCATGTGGAGCAGTTGTGTCAGCCTCAATTCTGTATCCCAGCGATTTAAAACCCTTGCAGGAATTAAGCAAGAGGATTATAGAAATAGTACACTTCGTACAGAAGTTACATGAGACTCTTTACTCCCCTTTCGCCACAGTTCCTATATATGTACCAAAATAACTTTGCTAATAAAGCTGTGTTTCTGTTAATGATGAAACTGTAGAGAATGTCAAAATAGCATGGCAGATTCCTGCCATTAATGCTATTACATTTATTTCAAAGAACACAGAAGGGAAGTATTTTATTCCAGCAAGAGACTTGCTCACTTTCCATCTCAAATTCTTTTGTTGTCCCAAGGACTGATTGAAAGAACGAAGAGCGCTAATGAAATCACTACTGCTTTATAAAGATACTGGGGGAAAAAAGAGAAAAGGACCTTTTGAGGGGAAGAATTATTTGTCATTTTGTTTGCAATTCTGTTTTTCAAGTAACCATCTACTTATAGTAGAATAGGTATATTAATTGAAGCAGATGGAATTTATTGACATGTTGCCTCACGAAAGCAAGGAGCAATTGCTGACAATCATAAGGAAGCTAAGTTTTGTTTACATCTTCATCCAGCCATTGTGCTTTGCCATCTATTGTGATTGCTAGAAATGAAACTTCTGAAATGTTTTCTGCATTCATATGTTTCAGCACAAATGTCAACAGTGATGGCAGATTTGCTGATGAAGAGCAACAGTTTCCCTGGTGAGAAAAGATGATTTTTGGTTTTTTTTCTCCTCTTCCAATTTCTCAATATTCTGAAAGCTTAGATGTCATTCCAGGACTCCTTAGAAACATAGGTGCCTTCAATGAGGAAAAGCTTGGTGGCGAACAATTGATTCCCAAGTGGCCTGCTGTATGCTTTTTTTAATAAGTGATTTCTACAAATAGCTGCAAAAGGAGTAGAAGGTGCTGTAAAGAAGATATACTGTCCCCTGTTTTCTATCACCATTGCTGTCCTTATTAAATGCCTGTTTGACAGAATCCTTGAGAGGTATTCATCAACTGCTTCCATAAGACTAGTTTCTCTTTCTTGTACTTTTTAGAGTTTTGGAATGCTTCAATAGAAAATTATAAAAGCAGGGGACAAGTGAATACTGGAAGTCACTTCTGTCCGATTGCTTAAACTAGCTTCACATCATCTGCACCCAAAATATTAATTCCTTTTCTCCTCAAAGAAAAGGATTCCTACAGAGGAGACAGATTTCTTTTCTGAAGGGAACACCCATTCTGTTTTGCTCTGGATGAATTTTTGAAATGAATGACATGGTGTGATTATTAGTTTGTTGTATGGTTTAGCTGATATTGCTGCAGATTCTCCAGACTTCTTTCAGGATTCATCTTTTCTCATTATGTATATTCACAACTTCTGGAGTTCTCGTAAAGACATGGCAACAGGAAATTAATCTATGCCTAACTAATCTTTCTCTATTTCTGCCTCGGTTCCAGTAGCTATTGAGACCACTAATTTAAGAAAGAAACCATCAGGTGGTGGGAAAGCTTTCACAGGTAGAGCTTTCTACAGTGTTTTCCAAAGACAGTATGACACCTGCCCTTCCAAGAAGGTGCCTGTTTTTGTATAGGGTTAGGGGGTACTGAGAGAAAATTGGAAATGAATAATTCTTTTTTCAGAACTTTTTATAGACTTCTGAAGAAAAGAGCAACAGGTAGCTGTTATCTCTGGTCTTTTCACTTGTGAAAGAGAGAGTGGAGCTTAGGCTCATTTTTACTGCCTACTCCAAAGGGAGTCTTTCCACTCTAGTCATTAGTTTCAGGATAAGGTCATTGGTCTCCAAATCTCAGCGATCTAGATCTTGAGAGTCCTTATTACCAACTGAATGGTAATTCCAGAATGGGAAAGTGTGCCATGCAAGGGGAAAAGAAGGAATGCCAATTCAGTCTTGGTAGGACTATAGTAACAATGGATTTAGACTGAGTTCTTGTTTAGAATGAGAACGCTTGTGCAAGATTCAAGTTAGGAAGATGAAGATGCTGTGGTTTTCAGACTCAAATATATTTAGGCTAGTATTTTAGGTGTTTTTTTATGGTTAGAATTAGGCTATCAGTTGTCTGCTTGCTTAAAGATACCCTGCCACAAATAGATATCGTTAATGTTTTCTGTATTAGGCGGAAGATGCAAAGACTGTGAAGAATAAAAAGGGTAAGGATATAGGTTTTTCATCAACCTCTATTATTCTTTTAGGCCATACTATTTAACGTGTGCATGGAGTTCTTCATCAACAGCCTGTATAAATAGAATACTATATTCTTTTTATCGCTGGAGCTGTCATAAGTAATGGACTATGCCCATGATTGCATTTATAGAGGAATTGTTATTTGCTCATCTTTAGGATGACTCAGAGTGTAGTTGGCCTATTTGTCAACATATTTTTGCAAATTACATTGCCTTTCCACTATTTATCCTTTCTCATGTCAGTGGTATCAGTTATAGTCTCAGTTATAGTTTTCACTCCCTTTGTTTTTGTCTTTTCTGGTGGTGTTACTTATGATATAATCCTCTGCAATTCCTGAAATAATTTCAGGACATCTATATTATCAGTTTTTCAATTATTTGCATGCTCTTGAAAATCTTTGTAGCTGAGAAACAGGACTGAATAGAGGTTTGTGTAATTGGTTTAATACTTTAATTTATGTTTCTTTTAGCTTCTGGAAGTAATTTACTGTGTCTCCGTTATGTTTTCTAAAAGGAAAATAGTCTTTAAAAATTGAGCTGTTACACTAATTCTTTTTTTTTGAGGCACACCTATTATTTATTTCCACGTTGTGTTTGTATCTATCTTGTTTGTCCCTGAGATGACATCATACAAAGGAAAGTTCAGTGGTAGTTGAGGAAAATAGGGACACATTCTCCTAAGTGGCTCAGTGAAGGTCAATTCTTTGTCTAAAAAGACAGAGTGCCTTTCAGGTGCTAAGTTATGGGTCAGGAAGAAATCACCTGGTTTAAAACAAAACAAAAACCGCAAAAACATGTTCCCTGCTATTCAACCAATGAAAGGCAATACAGAAAACTAATTCTGATGTCCTTTTGGCAACATAAAAGGTCTGGATAGTATAATTAAATAGGAATAAATGGATTAATGAAAAATGCAAATGTTAATTGGCATATGGAAAAATTAATTTCTATGAGAGTGAATGACAAAACAAAACACTAATTTTTTCTCATTTTGCCAAAAGCTAAAAACAATTCCTATTTGTTGCTTTGGCAAAAATACTAGGTTGTTGTTTACGCTTCCTTTCAAAGTCTACAGAACAATGTCTTCTTATTAAAATCAGTAACTATGGTTTAGAGTTAGAACTCTTGTTTCCTGACCACTAAATGCTTATGGTGGAAGAATCACAGTAGCAGAGGGCTTATGTTCTAAATCAGTGGCTCCTAAGCATTGTGAAGCTGAACGTTGTCTGAGAAAATCAGTCGTAGTCTCTCTCACTTGCTCTAGCTCCACATGTGACTTCCCTTCTCTTTTGCCCTAGGGTTCTTGCACCACCTTGTCCCTTGCTGCTGACTCAGGGTCTGCTGCATCATCCTTCTTGCCCTGATTCCCGGGATCACCGTTAGTTCCTTTTAACTTTCTCTGGAGCTGCCATCCTTCTTCTTGAGACGAAGCTGCTGAGTCTGGCTGTGCCCTAATAAACTTGGTCTAGAGCCTTAGGTGTCTTTGCACCCTGCTCCCCAGTGCTCCTGCCAAGAGACCTGATAGGCAGTTCATGAGACCACAGTTCTGAATAATTTAGAAAAACGATAACTGTCAGTCAGTATATAAGCAACGCATTGGCTGATACACCAGAGGGTTGTGCAGGCATCCAGAGGGACCTCGACAGGCTGGAGAAACGGGTTGACAGGAACCTCGTGCAGTTTAACAAAGGCAAATGCAAAGTCCTGCACCTGGGGAGGAACAACCCCAGGCACCATATACACTGAGGGCAATCCAGCTGGGAGGCAGCATTGTGGAAAAAGACTTGGAGGCCCCAGTGGACACCAAGTTCATGGAACAGCTCAGGTTGGAAGGGACCTCAGTAGATCATCTGGTCCAATCTTTTGTGGAAAAGGGAGCCTAGATGAATTATCTAGCACCCTGCTCATTTGCATCTTGAAAACCTCCACCACACTTGGAGTGCTGGGTCCAGTTCTGGACTCCCCAGTGCAATAGAGATATGGAGCAGCTGGAGAGAGTGCAGCTACTAAGGTGATGAAGGGAGCCTTTCATATGAGGAAAGGCTGAGAGAGCTGGGACTCTTTAGTCTGGAGAAGAGAAGGCTTGGAAGGGGTCTTATCAACGTATATAAATGCCTGAAGGGAGGGTGCATTGTGACACCCTCATTAGTTGTGTGACAAGAGCTCTTTCTTCTCCCCTGTGACAGGCACTCAGAAGAGGAAAAACTAGTTATTTACCTGTGACTATTCTTTTTAGAGACTTACTGGTTGTTTATACTTTCACAACACATCCTTGCAGCTTTTCCCTTTGTAGCCCATATAGAATTTGGGAATCTTTGGTTGAAAGGAAAATACACAACTGCTTAAATAGCCAAATGATCCTCAGCAATAGAAGGCATGCCACCCTGGATACAGCTAGCATTAAAAATAAACCCAGATTACAGTCTAGATGTAGTCACACTCTGAACATACGTGTCAGTAACATCTCAAAGAACAGTCTTTCTAAATGGCATATCTGTTTCAGGATTACCCAGTCGGGGGGACTGAGCTCTGATCTAGTCTGAAAGAACACCTTTGTGCCTAGTAGTCCTTTCGATACATCTGGCTTGCCTGAGCAGGACCCCAGGACCTGCTTAGCATTGCTCTAAATCTGTTCTTCTTACCGCTTAGTGAAATGTCTTGATTTTTGGGTGTAAATACATCGTGTCTGGCTTTCCAATGCACACAACGTATGTTTGTAACATCAGATGTTCAGTGCTTGTATTTATGTATAAACAGTCTGCATCTTTTACTTATTGCAGTGCCTAGGCTGTTTTTAGAGCCTTGTGAAAAGTTAGAAATTGCTGTCCTAGATGTTTGAAGACATGAAAACATCGATATATCAAGGATCCAAAATGAAATTTTTAAAAATTTGAGTCATAGTTTTGGGTTTTAAATTAACGAGAAGAAAGGAAGTTTGTGGGGGCTGAAGGGTGTGGAATGAAGGAAAATCCATTAGGGAAGAATTGAGTGACTATTGGGGGAGAATGGAAGAAAAAAGAAGAGGGGGAGAATGCATCAGGGTGAAAAACAGGAAGGCAGAAACTGAAGGAGACCTGCAGGCAGGGCACCCCAACAGCACCCTCTATTTGCTGGAGGCATCTAAGAAGCTTTTTGGTCACTGTTAGAAGACAGTGAGCAAGGTGGACTTGCAGTGACCTATTATGGCTTTTGTATATTTTTGTTACATAAATGGCTAGTGTATTTTTAGATTAAGTAGAACTGGTTTTGTTTACCTTGTCAAAATAAAGACAAAAAATAAAAGGGCTCTAAGGACAAACAATGAAATTATCAGGGGCTTAGATTTGCTTACGAGGAAGGAACTTAGAAGACTAGAACTGTGGTTCTATAGATACAGAAGATGCTCTGCAGATATAGATGTGTAGAAATTGTATGCTCATAATTACAGTTTTCTGACTTAAGAAAAAGGGCATCAACGAAATAAAGGGAAATTGAGAGGCAATAAACTCAAATGCCTTAGAAATTTATTTAAAAATAAACTGAATCCCTGCCCCAGCTAAATATTACTTTACTTTAGAAAATGCTACTAGAAGTTAGCAATGAGACCAACATTTTATTGAGAGCACATGGATGATAGATCTTTCACATGGCGGCAACACAGACTAAAGCTTCTTAATCAGGAAGGAACTTCTGAAGAGGGTTTTTTGTGAGTGTCTGTACTTACCAGTCTTATGTCGTCTTCTGATACACTAAAAAGATGTAGTTCGAGACAAGCTTTTGGACTAACTAGACCATGTTCTGTTTCATATTTTTATAAAATGTATGTAAACATATGTTCTATAAATTTGAGTATTATGGTAGCTTACGCAGGTGATGCCTTCAGAAGGCAGTGTGCTGTGTGTTTTTCCAAGCTATCTTCCAAGTTACCTTTTCTGGTTTAAATGTTGCTGATATTTGAGATTTACTACTATTTCGAAAGCTTTGTGTGGAGCTGACTGAGAGAAAATGGTGTTTTGTTAGTCAGTCTCCATAAAGTCCTTGGATGTTAAGCCTACTATTGCTTCTATTTCTGTCGATGGAACCAGTTTGGTTCTTCTGATGTCTTCAACCACTCGCAATCCCAAAGGAGTTGCCTTAAGCAGTCATGTAGAATTCGCCAACAAAAGATACCTATAAATACAAAGTTAAGGGTGCTCTGCAGAATCTTGTTATCTCCCAGATCACAAAGTTGGTAATTCCTTTTCATTTCCTTGTTTAAAAATGGAAAATAAATGTATTTCCAGACACCAGCTAGTGTCTACTGCGTATGGCTTCCTCACAGCATTTACTCAAGGCATGCTATGCACTGTCTGCATGTGAGTAGGCCACTGCCTTTGTAAGACTGTTCAGATTCTGGTTTATGTGGGATAGTCCCAATTCCTGTCTCTACTTCAAGAGAGAGAGTCCACAGATTCAGTTTATATGGGTGCAAGAGCAGAGGCTCATAATCTCTGGAGGAGCAAAGTCATGTGAGATCTTGGCACGTAGAAGCAGATAGCATGGGGCTTATGGCCTTTTCCATAACCACTGCCCTTATCTCTTGTTCATTCCCTGTTACTTGTACTCTTCTCTTTGAAAACTAACCCTCATATTCTTCATCCCTTATTGCACTATCTCAGTTACTGTGCTCCTCTGTTCTTCTCCCACTTCCATGTTTTCTAGTTTTGCCTCCCAAAGTTGTAAGAATATGTAGGCGTTACAAGAACCTTACCATGAGGAGAGGAGAGGGTAGTGTCTAGAGGTAATGCCTTCAAGTTCAACAATTCAGAAAAGATGATCATGTTCTCTTTTCTTTCTAGTTAAGCTTTGCTACCTCACTGATCAAAGGTGCTTGTTGGAGACAATTCTGTAGAGAAGCATTAACTTGTTAGTATCAGGCTCTGTGTCCCTCTTAACTAGTAACTAAATAATCACTAGGGCACCAGGGCTACATCTGTACTAATAATTAATAAAAATTAAACAAAGGAGTTAGTCTCTGGCTTGGTGGCCAACTGCTGTGTCACGGGTTATGTTAATACAATGAAAGTATTTTTAACCCCCTCCCTCCCACACACAAGGTATCAGCTGGGAATGTCCCTACCTCTGCTTGTCTGTGCCCTGTGCCCAGGCATTTGTCAAAGAAAGTACTACCTTTCTTGGGCCAAAACTGTGGCAGGGACCATGCTAAGGGTCTAACTGCGTGGAAAGGTGTGGCCCAAAATTCAGGTCCATTGCCAGACTCTGTTTTACAAGTAAAGAGGTAGCCAGATTCTCAGATGTTTAAGGCTCTGCAGTATGAGGAAAGAGCCCAAGCGCTATTCCTCTATTGGGATCTTACGCTCATGTTTGTGAATCAGACCTTGCTGTTGTGTGCAGCTTCTTTGGAGAGAACTAGCCCAATTCTTTGCTTCTGGGATGCAGTTCTTAGAAGTGTAGTTTTCCATGGAATACCACTGAAGGTGAGAGTTTGCAGATTTACCATTAACAAGAGGCTTATGGCAAGAACAAGCAAGTAAACATCTAAACATGCAGAGTTTCTGAATAAATGCTGCTTTCACTTAATTATGCATTCTTTCACCAGGGGAAAGTACTGAACACACTACTGCAATGCTGGCTCACCCTTCCTTTTGGAAGTCCTCATAGTCTGTGTACATTCAAGAAAGCAGTGTTCCTCATAGGGGCTACTATGAGCTCCCTTATATGAGAGGGATAGAGATGATCCAGTTGCCAAGTTCTTTTTTCCTCTGTAAATCATCAGAGCCTCTGTCAGTTGATTTCTTGATGAGTCCCTTATCAGATGATCAGATTTCTGCCAATTGACTTTGTTTCCAAGGCAACCACTCTCTTGACAAGCCAGTTCCCTTCAATAGTAGGTAACTTATTTTTTAGAGTAGGTTGATTACATTTTAACTGCATAGTTCTTAACAAGATATTGCTGCTTAAGTTTCAGCCCTACATGAAAGTGAAAAGATAACAAAGAAGCAAAAGTCTCTGTAACTAAAATGGAGTTGGCAGCATCATAAAGATACATAAAGGGATTTTATAGTCTCTCACAAAATGCATAAATTGTACATACTCCCTAAAGATAAGCCTGCCCACCAGTCATTCTCATTTATGTACATATTCAGTGTATTCTTTTTCTGAAAATAATGAGAGTTCCAGTTAAGCTGTTTAACTTATGAGGATGTTTCCCAAAAGTACAGATAGTTGTGTGAATACCAGCAGTACAGCAATGTGCTTTCCTACTTGTGTAGGTCTCTAAACTGATTGATACTGGTGTTTAAGAAATCGTAGGTTCCAACCAAATTTTTTTTTACATGGTTCAGACTTTGACATGGTCTTAGCCTGCATCTCGCATATGTGCTGTTTCTATCTGATAAGCGTGCAGGTTACCACATCCTTTGCTTCAGTGTCTTTTCCATTCAGCTGCTTTTGTTTCCTACAAAACTTCTAGGATTGTCTTTGTTGAGGTTTCCTGGATTCATCGTGTGGATTTACATTTTAGGGGAAGAGGCACAGACAGGATATAGTTACAAAACTCTTTTTCTGAGGCAAGCAAACTCAAACATCCATATTCATACAGGCAGATAGCGTCAGGTTATAGTCTTGATTTCAGGAATGGCTGAACCTTGTAGAATCCTTTCTTAAACTTTAAAAATTTGTAGGACAGGGTATTCGCATAAATGGAACCAAACTTTAATTTCTGTTAATACACTGAACTTTATTTAATGTGTGCTGTAGAAACCCTCTTTCTTACAGGTGCCAGTCTATTTTATAGTAGAGATGCAAGCAGTTGTCTAATTATTTTTTTTTAATTTTTTATTTTTAAACATTGCTTCCCCAGGGGAGTAGGACTTGCTGTATATGCACTGAAAAAATTTCAAGATAGTTTGTGTAAGCATTTGGATTTTGGAGCACTTAAATTCTCATGCCGTAAAAAGAGAGCATTATTCACTGTTAGCCATAATGAAGCAGGTGTTCGTTCCTCTGTAATGTGATTGCTTGGGAAATTTTTGACTGATCACAGTGAGCTATCCAGTCCCTTTTGTAGGGAAGTGATCTTACAAGAGCTTTGTCTTTTACTCTGTCTCCATCTGTTGATAGGATGACTTACATCTTCTGTCTGGACTGGCAGACAGGATTTAGGCACCAGTCCAGCAAACCACTTAAACAACAGTTTACCTTTAAGCCTTATAGGAACTGAATTAACATGTTAAAAAAAAAAAAAAATTGAAGTAACATTGCTAACACACTACTGTTATCTTTAGAAGGAAATTTAGGAGATTAGGTTGTATTGGTACATGAACTATAAATGGAATAAGAAGTGTTAAATTAAACATACACTGAGAATAGAAAACGTAGATCAAGACCTTTGTCTTTAGTACAGAATTTAAAGGAGGAAAGATTCCTGTTTAATAGCAAAGAGAATCTGTACCTTGTATATTTCTTCTAGATCAGTGCTGCTTGAGTGTGTAGTTAGGCAAACAGAATAGATTTATCACAGATGTATGTAGTAGTTTCCTCTGGCCAAAAAACCACTAATCGTACAATCAGATACGGCGTTACTCACTGTTGCTTTACAAAGAAATAGCAACATACGTATTTCTTGTACTAACAGAACTAGTGACCACTACGCAGTTAGCAGTAGTTCACAGGCAGACCTGGAAATTCTAATATTTACATTGAAGGTTACTAAAGTGTTTGTTTCTTTGAAAATTCTTTTCATTAGATCTTTTAAAAGTGTTAAATCTGTCAGAAGAAATCACTGTCCTTGTGAATGGATGAACTTGCAGTTTTAAGCTAGTTGAGTTTATATTCAGTTAATGAAACTGATGATAAAATAAAAAATGGCTCTTTCTGAGTTTAGTTTGGTTCAGCTTTCAGTTTTATTGTACAAGTGGAAATACTTGAGGTTTTGTGTTCCATAATGGTGACCTCTTGTGGTGTAAATATGTCAGTGTTTCTGAAGGAGCTCTCTGTAATATATACTGGAGGAAGTATATGTCATTTTCAATGAGCAGATAGGCTACTAACTTAGTAAAATAACTTATCTTTTCCAATTAGTTATTAATATGCAGATCTCATACTGAGTGCATGTGAAGAAAGAAGCATTTTGAGCATTGTATTCTGATATACTTTGTGTCTATACTGTATCTTTTAGTGACCAGATGAAAAAGCCTGGCACAAGTTCATCACGGCCAAGGAGTACAGGCTGGAAGAGAAGAGTAACAGGTACTTGATAAGGCATTTCAATCTCCAGTCAAAAAATGTGGAATACAGTCAAATAGAAATAATCTAATTTTTGTGATTTGAAGATCTTTTTTATTCACTGAACAATATGTTTGGTTTTCTAGATGTATTGATTTTTTTTTTACTGTTGTTGGTTAAGAGAAACAATATTCAAGAGATCTTCACTCTAAAAATCTGTTGATATTTTCTCTCTTGTTTTTCCCATATGTAGGCTTAAGAATTTGCCAATCCATTAACACCTTGTTTGCCCATCACTTTTTATAAACTGGCATAGTTGCACAGAAACTAATAAAGTTATGCCAAGCTATATTAGCTGAAGATACAGATTCTGGATTGCCCTGTAGGGATGCATTTTGCTAATTTTACATAACAGATTTTAATTAATATTTCCTCATAGCTGGCACGTTTCATACATGGCAAGTGCATATTTGAGAGTCTGGTATGGAAACCTGAAGTTTTTACTCCGCTATTATTATGCTTTATTCCTGTTTTTCTAGAATTCAGAAGGTGCATTATTATGGATCATTCTGGCGAAGGCTGTAATGTGCTCTGCTTTCATTTCCTTCAGAGGAGCTGAGAGTATTTACCATGCCATGGGAGTTAATATTCTGTGGGGCTGTATTTTTTCTGTTTATAAGCCATTTAATTTATTTGTCTGATTTTATTGGTGCTCTTGAAAAAATCATGTGTGTTATTAGGATTGTTTCTTTTTATATCTACTTTTTTAACATTATGTAGCTTCCTTAGTTTGTGCATACTGCATCTTTAATCCCAGAATAAACAGTGGGATAGCAGTAGAAATTCTCAATCGTTTCTTCTCTATAGTGGGGTCCGGGGGGGAGTGTTCATTTACAGATTATTTATATTTTCTGATATGATTTGTGTTTATACTTTCACATTTTAGAGAGGAGGTAAACTATTTTAATATTGATATATTCGTAGCCACTCATTATTCCGTGAAAAGGCTAAACATGATAAGTCAGGCAGTACATAGCTTTTGAAAGCTCAGTGTTGCTAAGGCTCTTGTATTTACATGCTAAAACCAGCAACCAATAGACGTAGACTGATTAGCAATGGGGTTTTTTTGACCAGAATGCAAAGCTGTGGTTAAGACCTATGAAAAACTGAGGCAGCAAACTTCAACTTGCTGAATTCTTTTGCTTGAGTATTTTTGCTGTTGAATTGTGATTCGCTCAATTAGAAGGTTCAGGACAGCTTCTGCAATATTTTAAATACAACTAGTGCCATAACTTTTCATCAGCACCATAAAAATCTCCCAGGACTGAGACACACACAAGTTTACAATTTATTAATGTTGCTTTTCTTTATAACATGTATTTCCTGTTCGTTCTTACTGCTAGGATTAAAATTGTTTAGTAAAAGCTGATTATTTTTTTTTCCCCCTAGTTACAAGAGATATTTGTTTAAAAAAATTATGCCATTCTGACTTTTAGGTTGCTATATTTTTCTGATGAATGTGAAACAACTGCAGCAGAGTGGCACAAAAAATCAGTTCTTTTTGCTCCGCACTAAAAATTGAATGGCTTTGTTAATTTTTTTTCTAGTCAGAAATTTGGTCATATCTGCAGATGCATACATGAACTAGTCTATTTCTTGCTTAATAAAGTTAAGCATGTGTGTAGTTAGAAAGTCGGTCCCATCTTTCAGTTTAAGAGAGGTAGCTACAAATTGGAAAGAAAAGAAATAATTGAGTCAATATGTGGGTTTTGTGGCAGGAAGGAACAGTGCAAACTATTCTAGTGTTCTCATTTCAGCTGTGCTCTTACATTATCTGGAGCAGAACTTTCACTTCATTGCAAACGCTGCATGGTGTTTTATTAATTAAGCTACTCATCGATCTAAATAAGACTATTAACTTGTTTGATCTAGAAAATAAAAAGGTCTGCAAAATAAGTAATAATAATATTACCTAGTAACATGTACTTCTACTAATATGTATATATGCACACACCAACAAGATATAGTTATTGTAATAACATCCTTACCAGTGTATTACTTATGAAACAGCAGCATTTTTGTATAATCTGTTGAAATAGATAAAACTGATAGATTCATTCTGTGTAAAATATAGGTGGACAGTTGAAGTTAATACAGATACACAAAGAGTCTGGATTTTTTTTTTTTTTTAAAGAGCAGGCTTTTAAAATAGTCAGCAGGTTTTTAATTGTGTCACTGTTCCAAGTAATGCTCAGTAGACAGTCATTTTTTTTAAGGTCTGAGATACTGTTCTCATGATGCAAACCTCTCAATATCAGTGTTCTCATGTAGTACAGTATTTTTTGTGTTTGATAATGATTATGTTAAGAATTTACAGTATCATTTAAATGCAAAAGCTAGTAATGAACAGTAGGAGACACTTTCTGACAAATACGTCACTTAAAAAAAAGTATATATTCTAGTCTTAATGGCTTTCTTCATGTTATTTAGTGGAGTTGTGTGACTTTTATTTCCCTATTTAAGAAAAAAAAATAGAAACAACAAACCAAGCCCCATCTTTATAACGACAACTTTGGTTGCCTGCAAGATAAGGAGTATAACCTAATCTTGAACTCCAAAAATATACCTACATGCACCTTGTAAGCAATTCTTAGAGCCTTTAAAACTCAAGTTGCGCGTGGAAGCTCTGGCTCTCCAGCTGTAGTGCCAATGGTCACGACCAGAATTCTGTCGCTTCACGTAGTGCCAGGTGAATGTGAAAAGGATGCTCAGCAAGTTGGAATGATTCCCAGTGATATTGCATCCATATGAAAGTCAGTCCTGGAATCCATTTTTTAATAAACCCTGTTTCACCAACTCCCTTGTCCAATATGAAAACAGATCCATGCTCCCAGTCTTGTTTCCAGAAGAATTCCAGACCACTGATTTTTTTTGGTCTACTATTTTTTAACTTGATGTCTGCTGATAGACTTTTTTTGTCTTTTCTTGTTGAAGCAAAGTATAAAAAAAGCTGAAATATTATCTTAAATTTCTCTTTGTGAAGTGGATAAGGTTTCTGATACTGAACAGTAGCTCTTTCTCAGTCACTGTGGAGGAAATTGGTTGAGGGTGGCCAAGAAAACTGGGAGTTGGTTGCCTTCACGGTTTCTGACATGTTCATTGGAGGCAAAACATCTTTCAGATACCTGTAGTTTGCTATTCATTTCCCAAGATGCTGTGTGAGAAATTGTGTAACGTAACAAAGAACAGGAGGGAAACACGCATTTTACAAAAATTTAGTTGAGAAGTTCTCAAAACTAATTGCATAAAGTGGTTAGAACTGCTAACAGGATGTAATAACTAACAAGACTATTTTTCCATAACTGACCAAAGAGTCAGTTAACCAAGCTTAGTGTAATATTGTGCATGTGTTCTAGATAAAATATTACAATCATGGAGGATTGTCTGCAGCATGGATATTTTTTAACACAGAATAAGCTGTCACGTGGACACAGAGCTGAAAAATAGTACAACGTTGATGTAAAAGTAGTCGTTAAAGTAGTGATCAAATGAAACATTAATGACAGCAAACAAAACAATATCTGACTTCACATATCAAAACATTTATCCATCTAGTTTTGTTTCAAACTTTTGTTTTTGAGAAAATGTAAATAAAAACAAAAGCTTGAATAGGTAGAATAACCCAGAATATAGCAAAATGTGACATTTTTAGATTTTTTTTTGACTGATGAATAAAGTATTTGTAGTTATTTATTTGTGCAGAAGTTGAAACCTTCACTGAATATGTGCTTTTTTTTTGAATGTATTTTGAAGACTTAGAGGATGAAACAAGAATAAACGAATCAGAAGAGGAAGAAATCTTTTGGCATATAAAGATTCTACCAATTCTCCATGAACTGGAAAAAGGTGGGTAACAGTGTTCTTGAAAGGGTGTATTTTCTGTACTATTTCCTGTAGGAAACATGGGACTCATTTGTGTTTACTACAACAGAATACCAGTAGTTGGACTATGTAGCCTTTTATGCTTTCATATGTTCAGTGACTTTGCAGTATAAAACTGGCCTGGGCAACTGTCTCGAGGTGGCCGTGTTTGAGCAGGGAGGTCGGACCAGATGACTTCTAGAAGTCCCTTCCAACCTTAACCATTCTGAGATCCTGTAAAAAAAATACTGGTTTAGAGGAGATCTTGTCTGATTAAATTACCTTATTTTAGACAACATAGCTCTGCCAGCTTAGCAGTCAGTGATGAGGTAATAATTTTAAGAATAAAGTACTGCACAGATTCACTGTTTTAAGCATAGACTGTATTAAAGGTCTCAATTTTAGGAAATGAAGGAATTCTTAATGAAAATTTGTGTTTGTGCTTGAAGTGTTAGATGCCTCAGAAAAGTATGTAATGGCCCAGAATACTGAAGCAAAATTGAATAAATTAAGTATGGCTTGAGAGATTGAACTCTGAAATCCATTTTAATGTTTCATTCAAAAGGTTGTTTAGTTGCCTTCTATAGACATTGTATTTATTTGAATGGTGTGAATATACAAAGTAGATTTGTTTTTACAAGTGGTTAAAAGTGAGTGTCAAATTAGGGCATTGATTCTGTTTTACGGGATCTTTTGCAGTGTTCATTATAGCATGGTACAGATTAGATTTTTTTTTTTTTGCATAATTTTGCAGATGTTGATGAGTATGAAACACCTGTACAGTACTGAGTGATTCCCAAAATATATCATTATTTAAAAAAGACAGGATTCTCATTCCCACATCTATCATTGATGTGTAGAAAAACAGTGATCAGGAAATTTGAAAACAGCTATACAACTTTACATTTTCCTTGCTTCATGCTGAGAGTGTCAAATATGAGCCACTGAGTTAAAGTTTTGCATAGTGAGATGTTCCTTATGAGTAAGCAAAATATTATTTAGAGGTAAAATCTAATCATGTCTTTACCTTGTCATGAATGTAACTAAGGAAAATCAATTTTCATGCCCCTTTTCCTCAGTCTTTACTTGATTTGGTTAGTGTGTTGGGATTTTTTTAGCTTTTTAAAAAACTTGATTATAGCTTAGTTTTTCTAATAATAGATGAAATTATGTAATGATACTTTCTCACTAGCTGATTGAATGTAGTACTATAAAAACCTTCAAGTTAAGAGTTTTGCTGCTTCTTGACTGTTCCCACAGATTGTAACTGAATTGCATCATTGCCTCCTGCAGCTGCATGTTGTATTGCTTTATTTAGGCTGTTTACTGCACAATTGCAGTTTTTCCTATCAAAATGAATATTAGAATTCCATAATTTTAATGTTTTGAATAGGTCTGTTGGTAATGCAATATTTTTAAATTTTGTGTGCAGTCACTTGCTTCATACCTTTCAGCTAATTCCCTGCACATGCATTTAGGTCACATTTAGGTTTTTATGTATTAATAGAAAAGCCTTTTTCTTCCCCTTTCTCCCTCAAAAATATTTGCAGAAAACTTTCCATTCAAAAACAAATCTGAAGTTTAACCTGGAACTTAATTATTGTCTAAAATCTTATGAATATCATGCGCTTGAAATGATTGTTATATGACAGAAACAAATAGAACCTCAAAGTCTCTTTTTGTAGAGGAACAAATACTTTATTTTGTTACATTCCAGTACTCAAGAGGATAGGCTTCAAAAATGCCCCATGGGATGAGTGATGAATAGTTTTTGTTGTTGTTAATTTTGATGAAATGGAGTGGAGACCTTTCAGTTTTGGTTCCTTGCCACTCCTGTTTCACTGCTTACTGGAGCAGAGGGTTTAGAATCATGCTAAATTTTGTTAAATTTTCTGTCACGATGGGAGTAGAAATGGAATAGTCATTGCTCTTCCGTGATTATGATGACTACAAATTGAGAGCTTCCAGGCACTGCTGAGCATGAGAGGTGGGTCCTTGGATCTGCCTACAGGTTTGGGGCCTTAGATACAATGTTTATTGTTGTAATTTCCTGTCCATATATATATTTTATCACAAGTGCTTTGCCTCCTTGAATATGACTCTATTTCAGCTATGAAGTACATCCTGAGTAAATGCAGAGTTTACACAGGCAGTTTAAGTGGGTTTATATGGTGCTTTATTAGTGTCATCTTATAGACAAAAGCAGATGTAAGAAAAGAAAAAAAAAAAAACAACCTTCACTCTTGAATTTTAAAAACAGGCAAGACTTTTCCTTTTCCCTCTAAAGTAAACATGTACATGATTCCATTGTGTTGAGACGCAGATTTTGGAATATTTTACTGCAGGTTTTATTTTTGTATTTTTTAAATACTGTATGAGGGACTTAGGTTAGGAGGTAGATGACTTTTTTGTCAATAGGCCAACGGTCCAACCAATTATATCTTGCACCTCTACTATGCATTGGAGAGTTCTAATGAGTTTTTACATTCACTTGTTCTTAATCCCAGCAAGGTTTGATATATTAGGTTATGTATATGGGCAGAAAAATATTCCTTAACTGTCTCTTTTTCACACGTAATGTTTGGTGGAGCTCTTTCAAGAATATATTCAAATTTGCAGTTTCCCGGTAGACGTTTGGTCAATCTGACTATTAAGCATTAAAGGTGAGTTTCATTTTAGCTTTAGGTATTATTTTAGCTCTGTGACTTCTTAGCTTGAGTCTCTTCTTTTGGAAAGAGCAGAATAAAACTGTTTCTGAGGATCACGTTATCATTTTAAGAGATTTATTTGGCGTCGTATTTTTGTTGTCATGCAACCCATTTTTTATTTTGCTCTCTTGTGTCTTTGTCTATTGAGATGCTCTGGAAAAGGTGGCACTGATAATTATTTTTTATTTTTCTCTCCCTTCCCGCCCCCTTCATGTAGAAGACAATATAGAAAATCTTTGTCTGGCTTGCACCAAGCTCTATCAAGCCTTGAATGAAGGAAATATGCTTGGAAAAAGATTTAAAAGAAGAAGTGTGCTTCTGAAGACGTTATATAAACTTGTAGACATTGATTCAGATCCACTTTGCCTGAAGCTGGCAAAGATTATTCTGTCTGTAAGTGTTTTAAAATGCTGTTTGGTAGAATGTGAAGCTCAAAATCGTGAATTACAACTTGCATTTAATTTTTCATTTCATACTTTTAAACTGTGTCTAAACTAACCCTTTCCTCAGCACAGTTTCTTGCCATATGGATACTAGTCTCCCATTCATCCAGATCAGCACTTGTTGGAGCCTGTTTTTTGCAGAGGAATTACATCTGGGGGAGGAAGGAGGGACACAAAATAGGATAGCTGGTGTATGATGGCAGGAATATTGCTTAGGCGTGGAAGAGAGACAGTGTCCTAAGCTGGGATACACACGCAGGAATTTAAACAAAACAATAATTTAAAAAATTACACATGGAAATGAAGCTTAGTTTTTGGATAATACCTTGGCCTTATTAAACACCTTTATCTGAAAATACCAAAACAGGGTTTTTTTTTGGTAAGTGAGTAAGTGTAATTATCTCTTTCTGTAGTATTGCCAGTTAAAACTCTCAAGTTGGTGCTTTTGAACCTATTGATTCAGCTTCTACTAAGTATGTGTGGACAGTCACTGGTGCAAGGATACCAGCTAGCATTGTGTTGTAGATATTTTAGTAATTTGTGTGTGTGTGTGTGTGTGTGTGTTGTGGGGAGGGTGTTCTCCTTTAAGGTAGCGTGTGTTATTTTAATCAGAAGATATAATTATGTATTCAGATACTACATAGATGTTAAGTGGTGCTTATAAAAAACAAGTTCTGTTGCAGACGTTTTGCTGTGGAATCTTTTAAAAATCATGAACAAGACAAGAATTTGAAATGTGGAGGAAAGGAAGAGATTTGTCATTGTATTTTTAACACTTTTACTTCTCCGTCATGATCTCTCAATGACCATTAGTACGTCATAAAATCTTGTCTTCTTGGTATTTGAGAATAACTTTCATTATGACATGTACTGTTGTACTGGAGTTCTTTGTGGTATGGCCGTAGATGCCAAACCAGTGAATCCTGTGCAGAATTTCTTTGTAAGAGTGAATTAGAGAAGAAAGCGTGCAAGTTATTGATATACTACCTGCAGAAAATACATAAAAAGGTTATATATCATCTGTTATTTTAAAGTCAGTCAGCACAGTTTGCTAAAAAGAGCTTAAACTAGCTGCATTTCAGAGTCCTTTAATTCTCCAAACTTTTCAGTTTGGCTCAGTGTGCTGTCAGGGTTTCAGCTGGAATTTAGTAGTTCTGTAAGAATACAAGTTTGCCAGTGTCTGAACTTGTAAAGTGTTATGGTGCATTTTTGTATGTAGATTTTAGTTGTGATTTTTATGTCTTTTACTTTCTTTGCAGATCAAAGTGGATGGAAAAAATCTTCTCAGTGTTTGCAAGCTTGCATTTAAAATTTGCAGGAATGAAAAAAATGATCACATCATTCAAAATGATAGCTTATTGGGTATGTATTCTGTTCTTGTGTACAAGTTAGATGTTGAAATTCAATACTTAGATTGATCATCTTTCAAGAAACATTCTCAGAGTTAACTTAGTCACGCACTAAAAATTGCCTACTAGGTCAAACTAACGGTTCATCTAGTCCAGTATTCTGTGTCTAATGATGGCAATAGGGGATGCTGTTTAGGGAGAACATGGAAGCCTACATGTTTTCTGTGATCCATTTCCCCTGTACTACCACAGCATCCAGAATTGTTACATTTTATTAGGGACATTAGATGGTACATCCCTGCCTAATCTTTTTTAGTTTCTGTTTATAGATCTTTTGTTCATTAACTTTCTGATTCTGTCTGCCTCTACAATCTCATAGAGCAACAAGTTCCAAAAGTTCTCTGTCTGCTATTTTAAACCTGTCTACTTTTCATTATGCCCCTGCTTGTAGTTTTGCAGGATTTGCAAGAGTTTCTGCAGCCAGCTTACCCTCCACCTTCATGATGTTTTAAAATGCAGTCATATCGCATATCTCTGCCTTCTCTTCAGACTGAGGCATCTCAGCCTTATAGCTCTCTCTTTGAAAGGATATTGTGTCATTCTCTCAGTTGTTTTAGTAGCCCTTCTCTGTACCTTCTCCAACTCCAGTAGATCCTTCTTGAGATGTACAGAACAAAACTGTCTATAGAAATCAAGATGTGTCTGCACCAAATTTTATAGAAGCGAAATAGTGCTGTCTGTGTTGGCCATCATCAGGAAGGATATTGAGAACAATCACTGACTTTTTTAGCTGCTGCTGCTGCACATTGAGCCAGTGGTTTTGGGGAACTGACAGCAATCACTCTAAGGTGTCTGTCGTGATTGTAACTGTATTTGTGTCATACACACACACCTGGCAAATATGAGAAATATTAAGAAAATGACAGTGTATGAATGATACTCAGTATCAACTGATGGTCATTCCTTTCATTAAAACTTAATTATGTTTTATTAATGTAGGCCTTGACCTTGCAAGCATTTATTGCATGTGCATAAGTTAAAGCATCTGCTTAAATAGATGAGAGTATTCATGGTCTTAAAGTGTAGTGTGTGAGCGTTGTCAGAAGTAAAGACCAGATAAGCCTTTCCAGTAGTAAGACCAACAGGAAAGGGCTCAGAGAAGAGAGAACAGCTCAGATTGCTCAAGTGAATTTGGATACTGAAAACTACAGTTTTGTAGAGAGTAGCATCATAAAACAACCCAGACAAGTTGAGTGGCTATGTCTGCGTAAGCATTGTGGGTTTTTGCTCTCATTTCCGTCTTCACTCACTTTTCTTTCACTTGCTCTTCTTTCCCTGTATTTTAAAAACTAATGAAGGAAAAAAAGTTTTTAGTAGGGTTTTGTTTGTTTGTTCACTCTTTATGTTTTGGACCCACCTTATCCAAGCTGAAGACATGAACCTAGGTTGTCATCATAATCACCCAAATTCCTGTTGCAGTCACTGGGTTATAGTTTCAATTTCTTTTTCTTCCTCTGGCCCTGTGAACTATTTATGTGCAGTGAAGCAGCTCCAGTAGAAGAAATAAATTAACCGTTCATCCCAAAATAGACAACTACTGTTCAAGACCCTGTTTGATACCGAGCAGAGCAGGGACCTGAAACTGATTTCTCACATTGCCACAACCCAAGTGATTTAGCTGACCACTAGGCAGTTGGTGAGAGTTTGGGCAAGAGCATGGAGTGTGTGTACTTCATCCATATACACCCATATACTTGGAGAGAGTTTCAGCTTGAGTTGAGACAGAAAAAACTTTAGAAATCTCGTAAATTTAATGAGATGGGAAAATGTTTTTATTTATTCAACTGGATGGAACACAGGAAGCAGAAGTAAATATCAGTTTCAATAAGTTACTAGAAATTAAAAAGTATAAAATTAGTTAGGATTACTTATTTATTTAAGAGACACCCACCAAATTGAAGAATGTTTCAATTTGACTGTGAAAGATGCATTGGGCTTGTGCTAACAACTGTTAATTTTAACACTTCAGCTATCTGACAGTGGTAGCATAAAGCAAAACTTCTACAGTAACTTTACCTACATAAAAAGTAAATCTAAAAAGGCTATGAACAGACTTAAAATGTGAGATTTGAATTAGGCACCTGTGCTTTTTAGTGCTCCATTTGAGATGCTTTAAGACATTTGATTTTTAAGAAAATAGTGGGAATAAACCTCTTTAGAATGTCTCAAGTTCAGTACACAAAATTCCAGGCACACACAATCACCTTTCCAAATCTTGACTGAGGATTTCAATGATTACTGCTATGTGTTTACCACTGGTGCTCGTTCTTGAAGCCTGGGAGAACAAAAGTCAGGCCCATTCTCTTATTCATCAATAATTGTTTCTTGGTTTCAATCCAAATACCCAATTTTTCTAGCCCACTTATTAGAAACATAAGAGTTCAATCTGAGTTTTTTTCCCCAATTGTTAATCTCTTCAATGACCGGACTTTATCAAATATACATGTTAATAGTAGGCTTTCTGAATAATTATTTTCCTTTTAGATTGTTTGTTGGAGGTCCTGAGAACTGAAGATCTGCAAAAAAACAGCGAAGCTCTCCTGTATTGCATGGGAGCGATAAAATTCATGTCTGGAAATGCAGTACTCCTTAATGAAATGGTCAACAAAGGTGCTGTTGAAATGCTGCTGCAATTAATGAAGCAGATTAATAATATAAAAGAAAATGACACATATTTCTCCAACTTGGGCCATCTATTAGTCCAGGTTAGCGTTTACTTTTATTTCTAAAAGTACACACTTCAAGGGCAAATTAAAAATTTGATTAGAGGAGATAAGCTAACCCTGTGTGCCACTGACAGAGTTGTACCTATATTTAAGTAGACTTCTTTTTAAGAAGTTTCCATGAAGTTGTTCAGGACCTAAATTTAATTATCATAGCTATTTTTGTGTAGTCAATTTTAAAGGCTTTAGAAATTCTGAAGTTAATAAAAATATTTTTAGGTACCTAATAAAACCAGTTTCTTATTACTACTTCATGGTGCTGACAGTGTTCTGGATATTAGAGTAAACAGATAAAAATATGTTCCCTGTCTAAATTCTTTAAACTGAAATAATAAATACAAACTGGTTCTGCAATACTCTAGGAGATTACAAAAAGCTTTTTATTACAAGAATAATGCATTTTAAAAAAAAAACATAGGAAACTATAGCTACATTTCTTTGACAAAGTGTTTTTTAAGAACTGTAATTTAAGGAAAAGGTAGTTGTAAAAGCCAACACTTTTTGAATCTTTTTGAAGGCAGCAGGCTCAAAACCATCTTTCCATATGTGAGGTACCTTGATGAGTGGTGGCTGTGAAAACTAATCCTTTGCCCTAAAACTGTTTAAACCTTAGTGTTTTAGAAAAAAAGGTTATGTAGCTAAATCTTAAGTTATGCATAGGTTGTGGTTTTTTTGTATTTGTCGAGGATTTGCCAGGTAGATTCCTAGCATTTGTCTTTAGAAATTACTGATGTAAAGATTAGTGAACGGTGTAATTGTAAGCTTTTGGGGACTTCATAGGAAAATACATTGGACAATCTTCTGAGGTAGTGTTTACACTAAATTTCTCTACTAATTATGCCAGATTTCTTTAATTTTCTACTAACTTACAAACAAGCGATTTTATCCTAATTGAAATTATATGAGAAAACAGATAGCTTACATCATCACATTACTATTACTGATTTTTGTCTGTTTATTTTAGTGGAGCTATGAGGTATGTCTCTCCAGAATAGTATGTATAATCTTAATACAAACATAAACAGATTGGGAGATGCTACAAAGCACTGAATGAAATGATGTGGCTTAATATTTACATTTGGCTAAGGAAGTCCCAAAGTGGCAAATTGCTAAAGACTGGGAGAATGTGATGAAACTGGAAATCTTGTGCTCGTCATGTTCCTATTTTCTTTCCTATCTGGTCCTGTCATCATTAAGTTCCTATATGAATCACAAAATTCTCTTTTATACGTGTCTATCTTTAGAATTGGGAATATTAACTTTCTTGTGGCACTGTGAATTCCCGAAACAATTCTAAAATCATCTGTGCCATTTTGTTGATATCATACCTTCTGTTCTATACAAAAATTGTACATGGGATTTCCAAGCCTTCTTTTTCAAGAGAGGGTGTACAAACTTCAGGTCTGCATGTAATCAAGATTTTAATGACTATATTTTTCTTGAATGCTGCTAGTTAGACTTTCTAAGTCCCAATACTACTGCAGTGCTGCCTTAGGCTATCAGTTTAGTTAGAAAGCCCCTTTTGAAAAGTACTGAGGAGGGATTGGGGGCCCAGAATAGACTCTGTTCTCAGTGTAATTTGCAAGGCAGTAGACAGTGACTTAAACACCTAAACTATAAGAAAAGTAAGCTTAGATGAAAAAGTAGAGTATGATGCCTCACATATGGAAGCTGTGCAGTCATTTCAGTGAGTGGAAATTTAGGTTGTAGTTTTGGTAGGCATTTTAAAATCTAATTTAGAGATATGTATCTTGTATCTCTTTTCATGTCTATATAGTTTAAAAATATTTATCCTTCCAAGAGCAGGAAGGGAATGGTTAAAAGCAAAGCATATTACTTACTGACATTTACTGGCTGCTGTCGGCATTAATCATATAATACATATAATGGGAATCCTGTTGAGTAGAAAGAGATGGAAATTTATGTTAAATAGATATGAAAAGAAGCTTTTGCCAGTTGGGGCATTTAGAAATATCAAATTACATCCAAGTAATAAAAGATTATTTTCAGCTGTTTGACTAGCTGTCTGAACTTCCCCACAACTTTGCAGAAATGTTTCTTCTTCCATTATTTGTATGTGGATAAATTTAGTTTTTTAAATCAAGGGTTTAATTTGCAAATGTGTGAAAGGAAAATGTTACATTTGACACTTTTTTTTTTTTTTTTTTTGAATCATTATCTCTGCTTTTCAGTATGATTGGAAGTGTAGCAAAACTATTTTGTATAGTTTGAATAGACTCGCTGTTTCTAAGAAGGCCTCAAGTATTTTATGGAAAAGTCAATACTGACAACTGTCTCTTATTGAGGTTGCCGTTTCACTTGTTTATATTCTCTTCTATAGTAGTAGAGATACTTCATTTTTCTTCCTCTTGTGAGAAAAGTAGTGATTTCTGCTGCTATGGAATTCCTGTCTGACTTTCTCATATCAGTTTCTTCAACTAATCTACGTTAATGTGCACCATTTCTTCTATGTGAGTTAATTGTTCAGTCATCATAGACAGAGGTAGGAGTAGTTCTGTTTTCAGGGATATAGTATCGAAGAAAGTGTCTTTGGTGACTCATGTCTTCAGAATAAAGGTAGTTTTTGTGGCATACTTTAATTTGTAGCAAAAGATCAAATATCCAGTGACGTACAGAAATAACGAATAAATACGAGTCTACAGGAAAAGAGAGCAAATTATATTGGAGGAGAAAAACACCTTAAATAGTCACGGTGGTCTCTGAGGGAGGCTCTGCCATCTCTTAATCCTGATAACTGAAGTATCTCCCTTAACTGGGACCAACTCTTCATTTTTTTTAACCATATAATTGCGCAATCACCAGATGGCAGTGTTATACATAATCTTGCCAGGTCCTTTTTGTGGGAATAAAGTCCCTCTCTGATTTCTTCCTTGTTACACAATGGATTTTATGCAGAAGTCCCACAATACAAGAATAAAAATGTTTGTAATAATAATTATTTTTCCTTAATAGAGGACATGAAACCAAGATCATCTTTGACTCATTTTATCATAGAATTGTTAAGGTTGGAAAAGACCCTTAAGATCATCGAGTCCAACCGTTAACCTGTCACTGTCAAGTCCACCACTAAACTATGTTGCTTCACCTAACAGTATGATCATATTTGTATGAAATATGGTAATGCTTATTCAAAAGCCAAGGCTTTTTAAGTGTCACGGACAAGACTTAACAAGTACTTCATGTTCCTTAATTGAAAAGCACTTAAATGTCTTCTCCTTTAAAAGTAGCATTTGTGTGCTGTTAAATTTTCTGTTTGGGTGACTTTAATCTTTCACATGGCAACATAAGGATTAGGGCTGGTGGGGATTGCTAGAGCCAATTGTTAGGCATTTCTCCATGAATCATGGTATCTGCTTGAAGCAATCCGAATATCTCTTGAATTCATCTGCTGTCTGGCTAGCTTCTGTTACTTTTTAATTTGTACTCTTAAAATTTCACTTGCGTACTACCTCTTCTTTTGTGGATGTATACTTCTATGAACTTCTGAATTTCATTGTCTTGCACATTTAAGAGTACATGTTATTTTGCATTGCTTTTCCTTTCCAACCTGTCTTTGTGTGAGGATGCCTCTTGATAGAATTTGCTGCTGGAGGATTTTGAACCATCTGTCTGTCTCAGGCAGTGAAAAATTTTACTCTCTTTTTGGAGACCTCTGCACCATTATCTATTGATAAAGATTTTATTTTTTTTCATCATCTAATATGTAAGTCTCTTTGCTGCAGTGAAAGCCCTGGTCTGGGTTTGAACAACACTTTTAATATGTGGTTTAAACTTCATTTTCTTTATTGTGAAGTTCAGCTAAAGCTCAACAAATATCATCATAGGCTGACTGTGAACATCTTGTATGTGAGCGCTGAATGGAGTCTTCTGTGTCTGTTCCATTTGGCAGGAATTTTTCCACCAAAACTTTTGAATAGCAAAGTATTTGATCAGAATATTTTTATTTTAAAGTATTTCTCCAGTATTGTGTTGATTTTTGAAGCATCATGACTTGTGAAAGAATGCATATCTAGAAATGGGGGTTTTTTTTGCAGTTGTTTAGTTAAAATAATGAAAAACTCCATGTGTCGTCTTAAAATATGAAGTAAAAGCAAATGGCTTCCATAGGTTCAGTTTCTGTTTATCTGACTATAGTATGCATTTCATATTTGGTGCTGAAGTTAAATCCATTCATATATCACATTCACATTATCACATAATTTTTTTCCCCTCTGTACCTTGCTTCTCCATTTTGACACATTGCTCCTTCTCCTAGTGTTCCACTACAGAACATCTTGAATTTCATTTTCATTCTTCATTTGTGTGGTAACTGAAGACAGGTACGCTTTTGTCAAATTTGTTGAAGTAGGACAGCAAATTTGAAAGCTGCTGGAGAATGGACAGAGTAGTGTATAGAATCCTAAGAGCAAAAGCTCCTTAAACACAACAATTTAGCTGCTCTTTGTCAGATTTTTCCTTTAATATTAGCAATTACATATCACAGAACAAGCAGTCCAATTCAGTGATAAAATACTTAATTTCTATAGAGTTTTTTGTGATTACAAACAATTTGAACAGATAGTCTTTGTGCCTTACCAAACTACATTTAAAACCAAATTGAAGTTAAATACTTTACCCTGAGAATAAGGAAAATTTGAAGAATTTACATATTCTCATTAGATTAAATGACTTCACATTAATTTTATAGTAAGTTCTGGTTTAGATCAACAGTTAACTTACATATCATTGCCTGTCTGACGTTGGCATTTGAATACCCTTCTCTGGAAGAGAATCAGAGCATTTCAAAATATGCAATAGCTGATTCATTTTACATATCTACAAGTGATAGATATTTTATGCTTAAAACTCCTTGAAATAGAACTGTATCTTCTGAAAATATTTTGATTTCTCCAAAATATACTTGAGGACTAAAGCTTTTCACTTTTATACTGTTAGAGTAGTGGATTTCTCTTGATCTTGATAAACTGTTAAATTTTTAATCAAAATAATTTTTGTTGTCTTTCAAAATAAATTCATCTTAGTTTGCAACTTACAGTTATTATCAAAATATATATTATAGATCAGTATTAATTTGCAAGACTTAAATGTAAATTGGCAAAATCAGACATAATGCAAAAAATCACTTTAACTATCCACAGTGTTTCCTCTAATTTCCAATTGGTATATGGTTGTATTCGTGCATACAAGATTTTAAAACATATGAAGGATCATGTTTCCCTCAAAGGAGGAGGTTATATGCAGGCAAAGACCGGTATCAATCTATCCTTTTCAAACAATTATTTCAATATACACAATTTTGTTACCTACACACTTCCTGTTATAATTTATTGGTAGATACATACCTGCAGAATGTTAACAGGGCATTCAGACTGCCTTAGACATTATAAATGAGATCTGAGCTTTATTAAATTTTCAAAACAGTGTGGATTCTGTTGTAAACGGCTGTGATTAATAAATCTTTAAATATTCTATATGCAGCTGACAGCTACTTTGCGAAACTTGGCTGACTTACCTCTGGCAAGACGCCAACTCATTTGCAATGGTGCGGTCTCTGAGCTCTCTGTGGCGCTAGAGCAGCGTATGAATGATATGGATGTATGCACCTATATTGTCAGGATATTCAGGTATGTATAGAACACAATGCTCTTTCTGCATGCAGTCAAGTCAGCGTAGCTGTTTCAAGTGACCTCAGAGAGGGCAGGATCAAGCACTAAAATGGGAAGATTTACCTTGAATTGTTTTTTTTTTTAAAAGCTCTGTGTAGTTTTTAATGACGTTGTATGATAATTGTGTCTTTATTAATACCGATATAATTGTTTAATTGTAGCCATACAAACTTGGATTCATCGTCCTCTGAAAAATGTTTTGTTGTATTGTGTCATTCTTTGATCCCACCGATTCTGATTGAAATTTTTAAAGTACATTTCCTATATTTTGAAGCTGCATAAATTATTAAGTATTTATTAATCCTATTTTAGGCCATGTTTTAAAAAATGAATGAGAGAAATTACACAAGCTTAAGTTATATTGGGGACTGTATATTGTGAAATAAAATACAAAAGAGAGAAAATGTGATCAGTGTTCATTGTTTTGAGCTGTCACAGAGTGTTTGAGGAGCTTAATCTATGGGATCAGGGCTCCAGTGTGCAGATGGAAGTGCTGAAAGAATCTCAGTTTTATGAGCAGCTCAATGGCTGCTTCCCAAGATGTGCTTTCTAGAGGGAGATCAGTATGAGTGAATCACCCAAGAAGATCCTTTTGTAGTCTGAATAGTTTCTCAGTCAAATATCTTCCAGTTACCAAGCACCAGCTTGCACTGTCTGATGATAAATGGACTTGCAAACAATTTAAGGATTTTTAAGAAGTTGTGAAATTAACTGTTGGTATTTTCAGGAGGAGTTGGGTTATAAGCACAATTTACGAGCGCTGTTCTGGATGAAGTATTTGCCATTGCTGCTCTGTTATTGTATTGAGTCATGTTGCCTGTGACTCCGTGTTCATTGAGAAGTCATTCTGCTATGGACTTCTCTTCATGTTCAGCCCCTCCAAATTATCCATTACATTCTCCTTGCTAGATGAGACCGGGTTGTGCTTTGAAGAGCAGCTACATAAAGGACTGTTTTTAGCCTGTCCTTCCTCTCCACAGCTAAAAACAGGCAAATCTGGTCATTTGCCGTTTGTGCTACCTGTAAAGCATGTGAATTGCTTCCCCAGTTCCATGCCACCTTGTCCACATCTGTCTCTTTAATTTTGTTCCTAGAAACGAGTTGAGTTTTAGCAATGATTACAGCACTTTGAGCATATCTACTTCTTCTAAGGAGAGAGCATTTCTTTTACTTGGAAAATGCCATGAAAAGTGGGGTAATGTGCTTGTAATTAAATGTAATCGATACTTACACTGTAATTCTGACAAGGACATTTACTTGATCTAGAATTCAGTATGGAACAAAAGTAATTTGTCTTATTTAAAGTTTCCTACTGCTTCAATTTTTTTTTTTCTTAAGTTTAGTGAACTGCATGCTCAGAGGATACCAATCAATTTAATTAGCTTCCTGGAAATTGCAATCACACACACACACAAAAATATATATATATGTATATACTATGCAGTACAGAGCACAGATTTGAATTTTATTTTGTCTTCTAGTAATACAGAATGATTATTCTTTTCTCTCAGTAACTTTAGGCAGCTTCTTATAAGAGAACATGTTCAATCTATTCAGATTATTCATTTCTCTAAGTCTGTAAATCTTGCTGTAATTGGTTGTAATTGAACATCAACACTGATATTTGCTGGTTTTGGCTACAAGGGAAGCAAGAGGTTATCCTAGTTTGTTCTGTTATTGCAGTATTTCTGGTATCATAGAATCATAGAATGCTTTGGGATGGAAGGGACCTTTGAAAGTCATCTAGTCCATCCCCCCTGCAATGGGCAGGGACATCTACAACTAGATCAGGTTGCTCAGAGCCCCATCCAGCTTGTCCTTGAATGTTTCCAAGGATGGGGCATCTACCACCTCTCTGGACAACCCGTTCCAGTGTTTCACCACCCTCATTGTAAAAAATTTCTTCCTTATATCTAGTCTGAATCTACCCTCTTTTAGTTTAAAACCAGTACCCCTTGTCCTATCGCTATTGGCCCTGCTAAAAAGTCTGTCCCCATCTTTCTTATAAGCCCCCTTTAAGTATTGAAAGGCTGCAATAAGGCCTCCCTGCAGCCTTCTCTTCTCCAGGCTGAACAACCCCAGCTCTCTCAGCCTTTCCTCATAGCAGAGGCGTTCCATCCCTCTGATCATTTTTGTGGCCTTCCTCTGGACCTGCTCCAACAGGTCCCTGTCCTTCCTGTGCTGAGGGCCCCAGAGCTGGACGCAGCACTCCAGGTGGGGTCTCACCAGAGCAGAGCAGAGGGGCAGAATCACCTCCCTCAGCCTGCTGGCCATGCTTCTTTTGATGCAGCCCAGGATACGGTTGGCTTTCTGGGCTGTGAGAGCACATTGCCCGCTCATGTCCAGCTTTTCATCTATCAGTACACCCAAGTCCTTCTCCTCAGGGCTGCTCTCAATGTCTTCATCCCCCAGCCTGTACTGATACTGGGGATTGCCCTGACCCAGGTGCAGGACCTTGCACTTGTCCTTGTTGAACCTCATGAGGTTCACACAGGCCCATTTCTCCAGCTTGTCCAGGTCCCTCTGGGTGGCATCCCGTCCCTCAGGTGTGTCGACTGCACCACTCAGCTTGGTGTCATCTGCAAACTTGCTGAGGGTGCACTTGATCCCGCTGTCTGTCATTGATGAAAATATTGAACAGCACTGGCCCCCAGTACGGACACCTGAGGGACACCACTCGTCACTGTTCTCCATCTGGACACCAAGCCATTGACCCCTACCCTCTGGATGCGACCATCCAGCCAATTCCTTATCCACCGTATGACCAAATCATGTCCAGTTCTCTGTTTTTGTAATGCTCAAGGGTAAGCAGTGTAGGACCGGAACAGCTGTTAGGGAGCAAGCAGAGATAAAATCGTGACTGCAGGAAGGCGTGTTCTCCGTATTTGCTGGTCAGAGACGTGTTCTGTTAGTGCTGTCGTGGGGCTCTACTAGACGTGCATTAGGAAGGGACCCTTTGTTTCTTTTCCTGTCTGACTTCCCATGTCATCTTGAAATTACAGTTCTTGCATTTAACGCTAAGAAGTGCTAGTGTTAGCATACTGTGCCCATATGGCAAGCAGGTTGGGAAGCTCCTTATGTTCGCTTCTTCCCGTAATTCACTGTGGCAAGGACAGCTAGACTTCTGTTGTGCTCTTATTTAACGGTATATGCCTCTACTAGAAGTCAGAGTATTGGCATTCATTTCATTTGTTGGAAAATACGGCTCTGAGAGTCATAAGCAGAGTGGGTTTTTTTAAAAATCTTTTGTGGGAAAAAGTACTTTCATTCATTTATATTTTATTTTTGTACCTTTGTAGCAAACTTTCTTCCTACAATGACTTCTGCGCAGCTTTAGCGGACTGCTCCAGATGTTACATCTTATTTTTAGCCCTACTAAACAAATACCAGAAGCAGCAGGTCAGTTTTTTCATCTCCTGATTTTTATATATTAATCCTCTGATGTGTCTGTGTATTATTGTGTATAAGCTTGTTTTCAGTGACCTACTTTTATGCATTTACAAAATAAAAATTGTAAATGGTTGACAGCATTTCTAAGTAGTAAATAATTGAAATTAAATCATTTAGATTAAAAATTCAAAGCAATACAGAGGACAGATAGTTGATTGACTTGTCTGTAGAAAGTCCTTTGAGTACTTAATTGTTTTTCTTAGTTTTAAAAAACACTTTTTAAAGCAAATAGTTTATTTGAATATTTAATAGTAGGAAATTGTTGGGATTTCTCCTGCCCTCTTCCTCTGCAAGAGAAGTGTGAATTTTCCAGAGTTAAGCAATTTGAAAGCAGAGGAAACTGCTTAAGGTATCAGAACGTATCTCTTCTCTACCAGAGAAACCCATGTGCCTACAATACCGTATTTGGAACATTCACCTAGAAATAAGTGTTTCGAGTTTGTCAAAATGCCTTGTATTACGAGGTAAAATTATAAGAGTATACTTGCTAGCAACTTCATTAGAACTTCGAGGGTCAGGTGTTGCTGTATTATCCTGCTAGATCATAGTGATTTTCCCTAAGTGTACTGGAGCACCAGGCTCTGGGAGTTTGGTGCAGAATCACAGTTCTAAAGATTGCCATGTTGATAAGCGTGGAGTGCCCCCTGTATGGCAAATTACTCAGCTCTATTGCCGGGTAAGATTTAAGAAGAAAATAGTTTTTATGTAAAGCATAGATGTTCAAATGTGTAACAAGGTTTCAAAACACAGAACACTAAATCACATTAAGATTATTCTTAAAAGTAAGGAACTTTTCTTGGCTGCTCCAGCGTTGAAACTAGTTTGACGACATTTAGTTATTCTGTACAATTTATCCCAGGGTTAGTAGTTCCTGGAGAATTGTTGGAAGGAGGTCTTTTGTGCTGCTATTGTTAGAGGCAGTTAATGAAGGTAACCAAATCAGCTATGCTGAACAATGTATTCTTTCTCTTGCCAAATACAAAAATAATTTCTCCCTTTCCTGTTTATCTGCCTCCCTGTTTTCTGTGATAATACACATGGAAGAGGAACAAAGATTAAGTTGTTTCTGTTCTTCTAAATGTCTGTTGATTAACATTTCTGCAGCATATCTGAGTATTTCTAGGTTCAGGTTGCTCTTGTATTGTATAGTCTTCAAAGACACTTTAGTAAAACGCTATGTTAATAATGTAAGAAATATCAAAGGCATGATATTTTACTAGTTTTATATTATTTATCCTTGTGAGCAGTGTACTAAAAACTCGGCAAATGATGGGACTGGGAATAAGGAGCTTGAACTGAGTAACATCTTCCTCTCAATCTTCATCTGTAATTTTAAGGGGAACTTTTCTAGCCTCCTGAGATAATAGCTTCGTGTCATAATGAATTGTAGGCTCATATATAAATTCAAATTGTTTGTTGTCAGGTAGTGTTCGGAATTTAGCTTCTCATTTGTCTACGTTATTAAGTGGTCCTAAAATATGTTCTTCACTAGATTAGCATTGCTTTTTGTGTTAAACTGTCAGTTGTTTTATCAAAACACAAATTAGTAAAGAAATAGCTTGTATATTAAAAAAACTTAGTTATTATGTTGTGATGATTATATATGCAGTGTCTTCAGAATAATTATTTCTTACTGCAATTTTTAAACAAGCATGCAACTGTCAGTTGTCAGCTTAGTGAAGCCTTGCAGAAACAAGAAGAGGGACATAGATAATGTAATGCATCACTTTTTCTGTAGTATATAATGAACACTTCAGCTGTGAGGAGTGCAAATGTTTTTCCTGAGGTGCAGTTGGCATTGCTAATCTTTCTTTTAAAATGCTGACAGCTAGTGAGTTATAGCGTGAGTTGGTATGTGTTGAAAAGAAAACAAGTAACAGCAGTGTGAGTAAAATTGTCTGCTGTGGGAAGAAGCAAAGAGGAGGATAAATCAGTATTATTAACTCAAAGCATTAAAAATCCTCAGGACTAAGAACTGGTATGTTAAGAAAGGAAGTGTGTGTGTTTTCTGAATTTTCAGGTTGCAGAGTTCGTGGGATCAGGATTTTTAACTGTCAGTCATGGCAGCTAGAAACATGCTGGGGAAAAAATAAAAGAAAAACAGCATTCAGACTTTTTCAAGTGCTTTCATAACTGTGACTTTAAAAATAAGCATTACATATTGTGAAAATAAAAATGTGACAACTGGAAACAGGATTAATGACTTGCTCCCACACCACACACTGAATTCCACAGCTGCCACCCAAATAGTCTCTGTTCTTCTCACCACACTGCAGTTTCAGCTCTGCTCCTTTTTTTTCCTCATCTTGTTTTCTCTCTTGGGTAAAAGAGTCAGAAGGAATGGGAGAGCAGTAATTTAAGTCTGTGAGAAAGACTTTTGGGGAAATTGAGTTGGCAAGACTTGCTAAATTCAATGTGTCATAGTCTTAGGTAAGGAGAGGAGTACAGAAGATTGGAAAAGCTGGATCTGCAAGGTAGGACTGGGGAATTCAGCAGTGCGTTTCTATGCATCAAAAGTACACGTTCTGCTGGACTTCACTCGTGGTTGGTTTTAGAGCTTACGTGTGTGGAGTAACAAAAAAATCCTTGGTGGCCACCACGTGCTGTGAAAACTGTCAAAGTGTTCTTGTAGAGCCTCTGTCTTGCAGGATGAACTTTGCATGCTTCTGTTTCTAGTCAACATTGTAGACTTTTGCCCATCTCCAGAAATCTTCTAACAAGATGCTGTTCCCCTTTCCCAGATCATTATCATCTCTAAGCTTTTCAGATAAGCTATATATATAAGCTGCCTGGTAAATCTCTTCACGCCACAGAGTTTAGGTCACCTTGAGATAGCTAGTTAAATGTAGAAATTTTCTTTGCAGTAATGTTTCCCTTTGCGTTCAAGTTAGAGTATTGGTTAGCTGTAGTTAACCCTAACAGATCCCTAGCCTGTTTTAAAATCAAAATACCCTCACATACTCTACTATAACGTTCTTAGTCGTATGGTTTAGTTTTAGGTAGTCCTGCAAGGAGCAGGGAGTTGGGCTCAATGATCTTTATAGGTCCCATCCAACTTGAGATGTTCTATGATACTTCTATGATATAAAAGATGACTTTCTTAGGCTGTGGTTAATGTCGTAAGTCACGAGGAGGCCATGCTTTTGGAACAGGGAGATTGCCTAAATAGGGCGGTAGCTTCTGTTAGTAAGTCAGGCGCTGCCTGAGCTTAGGTGGCCTTTTGGGGCCCTGCCAGCTTCCATGTAATCTTCTATCAGTGTACAGTTAGGAGTATTTTCAATCCTAAATGCACAAACACAGAGTGTAATACTAAAATTTGCACAGAAGAAATCTTGTGCCTGTTGTATAGAAAAGTCCCTTTATACTTTAGTGTAGCCTAGTTTTTTAATTAGGAAACGTTTTTTAAGTATCTGACATCCCTGGATGCAGCAATTGCCTATTCAGCAAAAGAATAATCACATTGGGTCACATGAAAGGTTCATCCAGCCTACTGTCCATACTCGGCTGTGGTAAAAATCAGATGCCTAGAGAACAGTAAAAACAGAGCAAGCGTATACGATCCTTCCTGTGTATACTTACCAAACCTCCAGCTCTTTCCAGTTTGGAAACTTCCTCAGCCAGCTGTGGTTCTTTGTGTGTGAAATAAACCTCAGTTGGTTTCTTTTCCATGAAACTCTAGTGTCTCTCCTCTACCCCATATAAACTTCTGACATGTTAAACATCCTTTGGCAAGGAGTTGTCGTAGCAACTACCCATTCCACAAATAATTCCTTTTGCGTGCTTTGAATTTGGCCTTTTCTATCTTTATTCGATAACCTCTGGTTCTTGTATTGAAAAGTCAGTGAATATTTAATTCTGTCATTCATTTCACACCACCCCTGACTTTCTGGACCTTTATCATATCCTCTTTGAGTTACCTCTTTTCCATGCTGAAGAGTCCTTGCTTAGTCCTTTCTGATATAGAGGCTATTCCATACCATTGTGCATCCGTGTAGCTTTTCTCAGAACTTTTTACAATCCTGATTCCTGTATCTTTTTTTTTGAGATGAGGAAACCAGAACATGGCAGTTAAGATGTGGCCATATCATAGATTTGCATGCCTGCGTAAATTTATTTCCCAGTAATTCCCAATATTTTATTTGCTTTCTTGACCTCCTGTGAGCATTAACCCCCCTGAGGAATCTGTCATTAACCCCAAGATTGCTCTCCAGGTAGTTATGGTTGGTTCAAAGGCTATAATTTTATACGCGAAGGTATGTCTGCTCTATGTTTTTCCACACACATCATTTCACATTTATCTGCATTTAAATTTCATCTGCTATTTTATTACCAGTTGACTACAAATCTTTTTTCTGCTCTTCAGTCAGCCTTCATCTTTGCTACTTTGAACATCTTAGTGTCATCAGCAAACTCTCCCATATCATTGCTGTCACCCACTTTTCCACGTTGTTTGTGGACGAGTTGAACGTAACAGCTCCCAGCACAGAACCCTGTGGAATTCCACTGGTCATCTTTCACCGTTGCAGGAACTGCTAATTTACTCTGTTTTCCATCCTCTAATCACTTATGTCTACCAGGACATTCTCTCATACAGCATGACTACTTAGTTTCACTAGGATTTTTGGTGAGTGACTTTGTCAAAAGTCTCCTGGAAAGCCACATGGAGGATATCAGATGGGTCTTCTTTATGCATGTTTGTTGATCCCTTCAAAGAACTCAAGAATTGGGTAAGTCAGCACTTAGGAGCCTTAAAGCTGATTGCGTTTATCCAACTGTCCACAAATTTTATTTTTCTTTTTTATGGTCTCTTCTAATTTACCTGGTACAGACACCTGATATGAATCTCACTTGGATCCTTTTCATGTTTGTCGCCCTTCCAGTCCTTAAGCATCAAGGCAGTTTTGAGAGGTTGCACATCACTGTTAGTAATTAAGCTATTTAATTAATTA